AAGAAACCGACTGCTGTGGAAAACCTGTGACGGCAAACTTTAACCGTGAATGAGCTCTGATTGTAACTTCTTGTATACTCTGCACAACCTTCAGCCTATTGCACTGCTCTGTGAAATTAATGTGTTTCAGCTAAATACTGCTGCTTCAGTATCTATCATGTTAATCAAACCAAATGCTTTGCTTGCCCTACTGTATTTGAAGATGGACAAGGCTTGATTATAGAGCTGTATGCAACACTTCAGTTCTTTGTAACAATGCATTAAAAATGAGTACGCTTGAAATGTGTGACCCTTGGGTTTTATTTATTTAGAACCAGAGCTAGAAACTAATTTATCAGCCATCAGTTGTTGCAAATAGAATAGACAAACTGTGTGTAAGTGAGACCAACACACAACTTAAGTGATCCATAATTGCATTTGGTTCCCACTAGAGGGGGTAAGGTGCCCAAGTTTTGTAAAGATGTGTTGGTACATATATATATATAAATTCAAAAGAAAACAAAACAAATTCACAAATTAAGACTCAACATGTCCTTGTCCACTTATTGACTGCAAAACAAATTAATACATGAGCCTTCCATGCAGATACTATTCACATAGCAGAATGGCAAAAATAATTCTTGTAGACTCTTGTACACCATTTCTCACTCCCACTTGTCATTTACCACAACTCTGTTTCTGTTGAAGTTCCTGAATTTAGTTCATTATGTGAATATGGTGATTTACTAGGCCTATAAGGCCGTACCATACAGAAACAGCGGTAAGAACAGGATTTGTTATTTCTCCTAATTATCAGCAAAGATTGAAGGCAGTAGTGTAGGTGATTCAGACCCACAGGGACACAGAAGACTGAAATGTTTTTTTTTTAAAAACATCACCCAGAGGCTGATACAAGTAAAAATAATGCCTCATTGACATTACATACCCATAGCAACAGATTAGCTGTCTTAGCATTGAACTGGGAGGATAACCCTCTGCAGCAGAGAGAGATGAATGCACTATAAATTATACTCCGGTGTACCCACACTGTACAATGAAAAATAGCATTGACTTTTACAAATGCTATATCTCATTAGACTCTAAACAGTCAAGACCCCTTTCCAGATTAAAAATGATAATAACTCATTTTCTGTCCACAACAGCAATCCATCTAGAAGATAAATTACATTTAGCATTTTATTTCCCTGAGAGGAGATATTTTTATGTTGTGATGTATTTGTTAAAAAGAGAGCAGGGAGAGTGCATTACCCAGTTTTAAAAGATGTTTAATTGTGTGGTTACAATGATTACAATAGGCGATCAGGAACAATTTCTCATTGCAAAACACAAAGTCTGCCTTTATCTAACTTTGCATGAGATCTTCAGTAACAGGAAAAGAAATATTTAATTACAGGAAATCTGTATCTTATCTTACATTTAAAGTGATTAAACCTTCTGAGAGACATATTGTTTCTAATGTTAATATTGACATGTTCTGAGCAGCTTTATTTGTGCAATCATTTTGCTTCAGACCTCGGTCACATCAAATGGTTTTATTGACATGTTAGGTGGGTATCAGGCTGACTTGTTTTACATAAAGATGGTCAAGACAAGATTAAAATCCCAGGTGTGATGAATGAATAAAATAATCAGAGTGACTAAATTTATACATATAAATGTATATAAATACCTCGATCTCTATCTTTATGACTAGAATTTGTTTATTTGTCTTGTTTTGGTATGTCAATAGATACGTGATTGCACGAGAGGTATTTCACTTCACTTAGCCTTTATTACAACATCGTAATGATATTTGATCTTTTTTTGTGAAATCAATTATGAATGTATCACTATATCTCTTCAGTACAGCCGTCACACTCTTGGGATTTCTACATCGATGGCTTTAAATCATTCTTCAAGTCTACCTCACATATTGACTGTTAAATTATAATAAAGCAACAAATTGGGAATTTCATATTCTTTTACCAATATAACATACTTAATCTGCATAAGACTTGCAGTCATTCTTTGTTGAATTTGCTTCACACTTCAATGTCTATATTTGCTCTGTTTTTCTCAGGGAGACACGTGATTTAGATTGTACGCTTGCACTTTGTTGGAACATAAGAAGACTAACAATTACTATAACATGAAATATTGTCACATAATAAACACTTTATTCATGTCCAAATAAATACTATCAAGGTTTTTTTGTTCATTTGTGTCTTTTATGAAAAAAATAATTTAAAAGCAGGTGATACTTTTTTCTTCCAAATCCAATGTCTGAGATTAAACTGCATGGTTCTAAAGTCAAAAGAATGGAAATGAACCAAGATTGTCATGTAATTAATGGTGATCACCTTTGCGATTATTTTCATCATTTGTTATAATTAAAGATTCAGGATTTTATTTTTCAGCTGAGTTTGTGCCTATTAAACTAAAATTTTTCTCTCTGTTGGAGAGGCTTTATTGATTGGAATAACAACATTCTATGTGAATTGAAAATTAACTTTAATTAAGGTCTTATGTAGAGACACAACAGTGAAACATATTTAAGAGGAAAGCCTAGAATGACATCTCCATCTACTGGTGAAGGACATAAATTTACCTCAAATTTCCACTTTATTTATGCTGCTGTTGGTGGTGATGGTGGTGTGAGTGTGTGTGTTAAAATGTTATTTTGCTTGTTTGTTTATAGGCCTATCTGTGAATGTGTGTGTGTGTGTGTGCATTTATGTATTTTCTACTACTCTGTGTGAAAATATAAATAACTACCTTGGCGGTGTGTGCAGTGTAATCTGTTCCCAGCAGGCTGGATTCCCACTGTGAGAAAGACAGTATATTGTTCCTGCAGCACCAGAGATAACAACTCATTAGCATACTGAATCATTTGGCTGCAAGAGCCACTCTGCCACCCATCTGCACTGAGCTGATAAACACACACACACACACACACACACACGCCAGCTCTCACTCACACACACACACACAAATAGATCTGTGCAGAGCAAGCACATACACACGCACACAAGCCTACACTCACAAAAACACAAACATGTACACACATACAGTACACACACACTCACACACACACACACACACAAGCCTCCTCTCATTCCTTCCCTTTCAATCCCCCATATACACCCCCTGTATCCCTCTCTTTTGTGAGTCTGTGCGTTTTTGGAGAGTCAGGAACACTGAAGCAGGTAAATGTTTGGCAGGCATTAACCCCAAGAGCCCCTCAGTAGAGTCCCAGCACAGCTAGAGCAGAGCGCAGGAGAGGTCTCCAAACACCTGGATGTCTCTGATGCTCTCTGGAAGCAATCATATTTTTTTGAAATGTCTAAGAGCTGATGCTGTTGTAGTAGTATTGGTAGTGGTGGCAAAACAAAAGAGTTATGGAATATAGGGAAGTAGACTACAAAAAAGTAGCATTTGTGTGGGAAAGCTACAACTGCTAATTTATTACTAAGACCACAGGCTTGGTGGACATAGCTTTGCGATGGTGTGAGTGAATAACTTTAGGGCGGTGGGAGTCTCAACAAGTATGGCTGTTTCACAATGTGTTCAGACACAACAGCGTGCAAACGAGTGCAGTGGAGGCTGTCAAAACCACTTTCACAATGGCAGGATATCCTGCAGGTCACCGAGCCATGTTAACCTCTACAGGAAGTTGTCACTTGTTGGGAGGAAGTGAGGATTCCAGCTTTCATTGGGGGAGTTTCATGAGGAGGTTGTGGTTTTAACTAGACCCACTGTACAAAGAAGGTGGGAAACAGCTGCATGGTGTGGCATTGTCTGTCAATTAGATTATGAATTTTAATAAGTGTGTAAAAGGTATAAAAGTAGTCATAAATGTGGGAATTGTGGCAAATAGGAATTGAGACTGAAATTAATTGAATCAATAAGACCTACATTATGCTTGAGTGAGATCAAATACAAGGCTTTTCCTCTGCATGTTTTATTCAGGGGTTTTGTATAAAATTCATTGATTTAACATTGGATATATTTATAGATACAGCTATCATACAACAAATATATCATTACCAAACGTACAATGTCCCTTTACTGCAATTCATAAAATACCATAGTTACCAAAGGTACCAATATAGGCTACTAGGTCCTGCTGGAAAAGCAGAATAAACAACAACAGCGAGCAATACTTATCTGTGTTTGTCAAAAAACTGCTGGTGTTGCCATGATATTAACAGTGTGTGTTGTGTGTGTGAGCGTGTTTGTGCGTGTGCCTCTGCGCATGTGTCTGTATGTGTATATGTAAAATGCGGCAATGAAGGGATTTATTTGTGTACCTTACTGAACTACAACTGCATTACAGTTAAAAAAAACACTGAAACATTCATATCAAAAGGACTGCATGAGTCATCTCATGATATCATACGACCCATATTTTGTACACTTTAAGAAACACTGCATGTCTTGTACCTCCACAGCAAATTCAAATAGATTATATTCATTCCAGGCAGTGAAATTGTTTAACTGTCTGTTGCATGTATTTGGTGTCATTTTCTTATCACCAAAGTGTAACAGAAGTAAATGGTACCACATTTGATGCACTGCGTTCAGTTGCTTGCTTTACCTTTTGAGTTCATCTCATCTCTTCTCCCCTCTCTCCTCGTTTCATGTCTCCAAAAAGACCATTTTGCTAGTAAACCCACTGACAAATACACTACAGTACATCTTAAACCACATGACTTGAACTCGAGTCACTGTTGTTACACTGTGCAGTGGAAATATAATGCTATTTACAATACATACGCAACTGCATGGATACAATAGTCCAGTCGGTTCATTTACGGCCTCCAACTGAGGCAAATTGATATTTGCATCATTATGCGAAGACATGAAATTTGTTGGGCATAAATCTTCAGGGTTCATTCATTGATGTTTTAGGACCATTTACGTTCAGCTCTCTGCAAGCACGTTGGATCTATTCTGGCTGCACCATATTGTAATCAATAGTATCATTAGTGAAGCATTGGACAAAACTTCAATAAAACATCTTTGCTAAGTATCTCTTGATTGATCTTTTGTTTGGTCTTGTTTTGTTTTGTTTGATTGTTCTTTCTTTTTTTGTGTTTGTGTTTGTGTGTGTTTTTTATAGAATATCCAGTCTTTGGACTTTCACAACATGGAAAGTTATGATCCGCAGGTCGGTCAAAGACATGAGACATGCAGAATGTACAAGTCTTTTGTTGGATGAAATTCAGACGATCACCAATCAAACCAAGCAATTCATCAGTGCTGCCTCAGGTGTAGTGTGGAGACAGGAACTCATGATCCATTTTGGACACCATTATTTCACTACACGGAGCTTGATTCTCCTTCCTACACTGACAACTCAAAGCTAACGGGTCCTGAGCATATTCCTTTTCTCTTTAGTCCTTCTCATTGTTCTCTTTCAGTCTCGCAACGTCTAGTGTCTGTGGTTTATTGGTGTCCGCATCATCGGCGACCGGAGCCATCTAAAGGGCGTCCATTGCGTCTCAGATCCCTAGTAGCTAGATGCATCGGGGGCCCACGTGAAGCCGTTAGAGTCCTTGGAGCTGGAGGTGAGTCCTGGTCCTCCATAAAGCTCTCAGGACTGCCCTCTGCATCACCATCAGGTAGGCTTCCACAGCTTGAGCCTGGTGACATTGTCTCCAAAAGATCGTCCCTGGCCAAGCTCACCACCGTGTCCTGATGTGGTCCGCCCTGTGGGCCACCCTCATGGGCCCCAACCAGCAGCCCTGTTTCTCCGTCAGTTGTGCTGCCAACATTCCTCCCTCCGTCCTGGTCCTCCAGGAGGTTGGAGAGGAAGCTGATATACTTCATGGCAAGCCGCAGGATCTCATTCTTGCTCAGCTTCTTGTCCGGGGGGTGAGTGGGGATGAGTTTGCGAAGCTCCGCAAATGCCCCGTTCACGTTCTGCTGCCGCCAACGTTCACGACTGTTTGTGAAGATACGACGTACAATCTTTGGCTGGCCAGCTAGCAGAGGAACAGGGAGGAAAAGAGACAGACATACAGAGAGTAAGGGCAGGATGCATTGAAAGGAGATAGTTACACAAACAACACGAAATGCAGAGCTGAAACAGACAGGTCTGTAAAAGCGGAAAGCAATACTAAGTGCAATAATAAACATGGAAGAAGTAGCAGCAGGAGGACAGATGCACAAAAGTTTTGAAAAAACATTAAATAATTAATTTTCAAAATTGTCCTCCCTACAACCATGGATTTTTAGATGATGGAGCAAAGCCTCAGTACAGTATGCTGTGTGCCAAATACTATGCAAATGTAATAAAAGGAAAATTGTTGGTTTGGTATGCCAAGATTGTGTGCTCCAAAAAATGCCCCACCACAGGTAGTCACATCCTCCCACCCCCAACAATGGTGTCTTCCAGGCTATTGTCGCCCTTGGAACACACCCAGTCTATCTTAATCCTTCAGCCCACTCTGCAGTAAAACCTTGGCATGGAGGCAGCAGCACCCCCATCCTCCACCCCTGTATATGGCAGTGAGTGGGCAGAGGTGGAAAGGATGTTTCAAATGAAATAAACCCCAAATCTGCCTGAAAAGGGCTTACTTTAATGGCATGCAGGTACATGAATTTGACGTTCTGATTAGCAGCACTCATTTATGCCATGAATTATGATGTATTTTCTAGGTTTAAACCCTTGTGCTGAATTTTCTTTCTGCAAGACATCTTCTGCAAAACTCTGATTACAGTATAGATCCATGTCAGTGGATGAATGGCAATGGAGATGAGGAGGAGACATTTTGGGGACTGTATTGGCAGAAGGACACAGCGTCTTACCATACTTATAAAGATCTAAAATGCGCCTACCCTCGTCGAGTTCAACCTCATAAGGCGCCGGGCGGCGCTTTACCCTGTTGCTGGGGTACATGCTGTACTGCTCCGACTCCCCTCCAAGACTACAGCAACAGAAAGCAGGAAAAAAAGCCACACAGGTATTTGAGAAAACTTGAATTTCAGCACATGTAATTTCCTTCATTGCATATAACCCTAAACACCCTCCACCCCTTGCACCAGGAGCTCTCTCTCTCTCACACCCCCCACCCCCACACACACACACATTTAATGGCTAATACACTATATATACTACACACACACACTTACATGCATAATAATGTCATCATAATGTAAACTCAATTATACTACAAGCATCTTTTCACACTACAGCAGTATATTCCTGTAGGGCCATAATGGGCAGCGTCTAACTGCCATCAAACTTTCTATGGTGAACACTCATAATGCTCAAATGAAACGTGCATACATGAAACTCTAAGATTTTTCTTTTCCTGTTTCCACCTTTACCTGTTGATGGCGGCGAGAGGCTGCGCCAGGTTGTAGAGCATCGCCCGGGCCGGGACAGGAAACGCGTTTGGGCTCAGTTGGACCATTCGAGCGTCGTCTCGTTGCGGCGGCGGCAGCGGCAGCGGTGGAGGTCTGCGAAGTTCCGTGATCGGCACCAAATGGCTTTCAGTCTTCTGCTCCACCGCTTTTATAGCGTCCCTCCTGGAGAGCTCGATCACCGGCACTTCCCTTTTCAGGTCAAGGGCGTTGTGAGAGGCAGTTTCCTTGGCAACGCCGTTGATGATGATGCTGATGCTGGCCCCGTTGCTCGAGTTCTGCAGAGGAACGTCATCCGTCTCCTCAACCCCCTTGAAGCGCCCTCCCCTCTCCTTCTCCCCCTCCTCTCTCCTCGGCTTCTCGTCCTCCTTGCATCCGTTCTGTCTGGAGATGATGGAGGAGTCCTCCCGCTTTCCGTGACCGGACTCTGCATCAGGACTTCCAGGACAAAGCTCCGGCTGCCGTTTTTCCATCATTTTTATAACGTCACCACTCGCTTGAGTCCACTACGTCCTAAATAAGATTTTCCTCGATTAATTTATTGATCAGAACAACATGTGACAGTCTTACTACCAGATACATAACCAAGCTTTTGCTTCCCATGTAAGCCTACAGGGAATTAACAATAGCCTACCTACATTATTATTATTGTTATTAAAATTATAATTTAGATCATTTTATGTTAATTTTATCATTTATCATTATTAGAAGAATTCTTTTAAATTGCAGACTGTACATTTCTAACAACAAAGTGTAAGAAACACATCGATAGGCTATTGTTGCTTGCTGGCTAGATTAATTCGTTTCCTTAATCATTGGCCTACATTTTCTTCGATTAGTTTTTTAAGATAAAAAGTTCAAATGCAGACATATTTTTCCACAAGGGATAACAACACAAAAATTAATAGTCAATGATTCTACTATTTTTGCGAGCTGTTGAAGGTTTGCGTGCTTTTCTTAAAGTGAGATATTCCTAATAGACTAATCGTAGGCTACAATAACCGAATTTTATCATATATTTGGAGCTATTGATATTTTTAAAATTTTAGCTTGGCATTTACAAAGAGCTTTATCTTTTGTTTCTGCATGCAAGTTTTTTCTCCCTTTCTATGAATATCTTATCTAAAGCTTGCTGGGCCTTCAGCACAGGTTATGTCGTTAAACTAATATCTAAATGTATGTAAACCTACGTTTGAGCTCTGCATAAAGTCATATCCGAATATATTAAAAGCTCATTTCGCTGTTGTTTATTTAGAGGTGAAAGGATCGTCTTATATAAAGAGTGTGGATGTCAGGACCACGAAGAGAGCTTGATATCCATTCTGCGTCGTAATAAAATTCCTCCTTTTTTTCTGCATTCAAAAAATCCAGCAAATTACCTCTTGAAGCTTCAAAAACACTTGGACATGATCATTTTCTTAGCTACAGATGTCAGAGTAGGTTGACATTCTTGCTTTATTGTATAGGCCATAGTGCTGTTGTTGTTAAAGCCAAAGGGCTTGTCATGTTGAATACACTACACAGCGAGTGTTAGGACTGGGTGTAGGTATGAGGAGGTAATTCCTTCGATAAATGTCCCAAGAATATTGTAATAAACGAACAACAGACCGCCAATTTAAAAAGCGTACTTTTATGTCTGGGAATTCTCCAATAGGCCTCGCATCCGTTATTACATCCCGTTCAGTCTCAGTCATGCGTTCGGACAATAGCAGAAAATATCGGCTAAATACTTCACACTTAACACCAATAAAATTTGGACGATTGCAATCCAATTACTGCCCTTTGGAACAACGAAAACTGTGGTCTAAATACAGGAGATGTATTTTTTCGCACTTACCGTTTCAGCCGTGTTGTTGATGTTACTGTGTAAGTGGAGCCATTTTGTGAGTGGGTCATCCATGTCTGAGGTTTTTTTTTCTTTTTTTCCCCTCTGCCAGTTGTGGAGCAGTGTGTGCTTGTGTGTGTGTGTGTGTGTGTGTGTGTGTGTGTGTGTGTGTGTGTGTGTGTGTGTGTAGCTGAGTTATTCCTCGTCGCATCCAGTACGCTCCCTCAGTATGGGGAGCGGAACACAGGCCGCAATGTGGCCGAGTGAGATAAGCGCACGGCAGCGGCCTCTTCATTCCCGATAAGCCCCTAAACCCATTATTTATGAAATGATTCATTATTATTTGGCTGTCGTGGGCTATATAGTCTTGTGGAGGGCAAAGCATAAAAAAAGCAAACAGGCACAGCACAACGGTCTGTAACAACGTGAGGTAGTATACTGTAGCCTGAGCCATATGAGGTGTTTTAATTTTTATGATTAAAGAAACAAAAGCTTAGGTTAAGCTTTTGACCTATTTATATTTTCAACAAATATTTTTTTTGCTAATCCCATTTATCCTGCAATGAGATAGCAGAGGGTCGTCTATCTTTTATATTTTTATATTTTTATCCTAAAAAGCGTAGGCCATGTCCATTAATCCATATCAATTTCTGCGCCTTCAGGCTGGATGGGCTACAGATACAATAGATGCAAAAATGAAGAGGGTGTAATTATGATAAGGATACCTTAATTGAATGGGACACAATTCTTTATCGATCAACTGATAAATAAATAAATAAATAAATGTGCTGTTACATGTCAGTGTCTGTGTCGGGGGCCTTGGACGACGGTTCCCCTGGGTCCATGGGGAGTCATGGCTAGGGGAGATAAAAGCGTATCGGCTCCTGGTCACATCAGATAAAGGAGCAGCACCCTATCAGAGCACATTCAGGACCGTTTAAATGGTGGCAAGTAGCTACATTCATAACGGATTTCTTACACTGTTTTTGCTTTTAGTCAGACACATTTATGAATTCAAGTAATAGTAAATTTAGTCAAATGAACTCGTGACAACCAGGCTGCTCCATAGATGAAAAATTATTAATTATGTTACACATTACGTTTTTAATCCTAACATTTAAAAACAAAATAAGGAGCCACACAATTAGTCACGACCTTTAAACAGACCCGTTGAAGCAGCAGTCACGACCATCGTCTTACATCCTGTGTTTAACAACAGCATGGCCTGACATAATCCCTCTGAACGTTTTTTAAGCATCTTTCAAGGAAACTGCAGTTGTGCCAATATTTATGTTGGTGGGCAGTCAGCACTACTTTGGATCCAAATGAACGATTGAAAATTTTCAAATCAGTAGGTCTAATTGGTCATATCCAAGATGGGACTGACTAGATATTTAAGTTGTATGGGTTTTACTCTCTAATTAAGAAAAAAAACTTTTTAAGAAGTCCATATGATTGGAAACTATATACTCTAAGTTTAAATATTTCAAATATGCCTATGCATCTAACTGAATGGATATAACACAACATGATAAAGCTTTTTGTAGCTTTGTGACTGTGTTACATTCAACAATCAAAGTTTGACAAAATAAAACATTTTTTATTTAGAAGCAAACCAGTAACAATTTCATGAAGCAATAGGCGACAAAGCAAAATGAAGGGATCATGCAAAGCCCCAGGGAAATATAATCTATTGAAAAAAAGGGGAGATGATTAATTTTGTTTAGACATTTTGTGACACAGTTGCAATGTATTTTTTTTTTTTAAATAAATGTTTTTTGTGCTTCTGCATATAGCTCCTTTAGTTTGAAAGTCTCATGGGGCAAAATAATATTTGTGGCACATCCTTACACATGCCCTCTGAAATAATCAACAGGATTAATGGGAACAGATCTGTGTCAGATTTCAAACATGTGACAAAATACAGTTTCACTCACTAAGTATTTAGGGGGTCAAACTCTGTGTGCCGTAAACAGCAAAATAAATCACCATTCAAACATGAGAGAAATGGAGTTGTTGATGTTTTTCTGAATACTCACAAATACTAGAGTCAAAATAAATCTAGCCATCCCTTTGTTTGTATTTTGGAGATGGGTTTAAAATTCGGCTACTTTGTGAATGAAATTATCCCAATTCATCCAAATGTGACCATAATAAAACAACAACATATGCACAGAAACAAGTCATGCTGGATTTGAATCAGTATGTCTAGTCTTAACTTCGTAGTAGAATCACAATACTCTGATATTCCGTTTCTAGTAGGAGTAGTCCTCTCTACCACTGGATTTGTTTGGTTTTACATTTTTCATTTGGTTATTTTATTGATTTGTCATTTTAAACCAAGTCCTTTGCAGTGTCACATTGTATCACATGGGTTTGCACTAATAGGAAATATAGCTCTAACTCTGTTATCCTATGTAGCCATTTTGATATGTGAACCTGCACTGAAATACACACTGATTATCTCACATCTACCAAAGTAGTGTTATAGTTACAGTCCATGAGCAGTGTTTGCAGTGGTGAATTATTATCCATGGCTTCAGGAGAAATGGCTCCGTGCCCTGCTTATCTTTCCAGTCAGCGTTGGTTGCGTCGGGCCGGCATGATACGAAGAGAAGCGGTGCTTTCCCGAGTCATGAGCCGCGTCACCTGGTCCAGACTGAGGCCAGCCACTGCCTCTCCATTCACCTGTAGAATTTCATCCCCGATGCCGAGGAGACCTGTGTAGAGGCCTTCGCCACTACCGTCACCCACTTTCTCTACATATACACCTGGGAAGGGAACAGTAAGAGAGGTAGAAGGAAGACAGATGAAAGGTGAAGGAATGGTGGGATAGTGAGAAAATGGAGGGGGGAGAAGAATTATAGAGGAAAACAGGTAGGAGCAGAAAAAGGAGATAGAGGACACCTTTGTGTTTAGTGAACCATACAACAGATACTGATATACACAAAATTGCTATTGGTATAATTAATATAAAACAGCTCCACCACGAGTAAAAGCATTTTTACACATTTGCCAATATGAAGGATTTCTGCTAAATTGACATGTTTTGACATGTTTGATGATGTATCTGATTATGTTTAATGACACCTGCTTGCATTTAACAGTTAAGATAAATATATCTGAACTACATTTGGATTCTATTCTTTTTCTTTTCCACTGTCTTTATTCTATTCTACTTTCAAGAAACACAACCCATGATTAAACAACAGCCTGCCAGCTAGCTGTGGAAATAAAGTAACCACCAAAATTAAACAAATGCAAAACCAAACTCTACATTTAAGACACTACAAAGAGAATGTGGATTAAAATAGTTACCTGTGTCTGGTCGACCTTTGCCCCTTGAGATGACGAAACCAAAGGGACCGTTTGGGGGTCTGACGAGCTCCAAGAGGAGGCTTCCATTGGGGAAAGCCTGGGTGACCCGGCCCACTGGACGCACCATTCTGGAGGCAAGTACATCTTCAACACTCAGGGCCCTGTGAAGCTCGAGCTGAGGGCTATCAGGGCTATAACAGCAGAAATTAATTCATCCTAGTTAATATTGAATTAATGAAGTAAAACAATGTAGTATGTTTTTTTTTCTTCTTCTCTATCTTTTTCTGTTACCTGGGTGCCAGGCCATAAGGTATTTGCACCTCTCCCAGGATCGTTGAACGTTCTGTTCTTCTCTCTAAACTCTGCACAGAAGAGGCTTTGCGCAGTTGGGCCAGTGGCAGCACCTAGTGGCAAATAAAGGGCAGTGTAACAAATTGTGTTTTTCACGTTTACAAAATTCACCAGATCAGCTTTTGTAACTGTAAGGCTAAACATCCCTCTAAAACTAACAAGTGCGTATGTGTGTGTGTTTGTACACACACACACACACACACACACAAATAATGCAAATAGAGGCTGTGAGTGGCTGGTACAAAACAAAATCTGTTCAGTGTCCTCTTACAGCTGCCAAGAGACAACAAGGGTAACAACAACACTTTCTGTGGTAGGGTACTACCACAGAAAGTGGAAGGAAACACCGGCAACCTGGAATGCATTATTTGTGCTCCCAGTGTCAGGCGGAAAGGCCAGCAGTACTTCAAAGCCTCAGTTGGTCCACTGTGGCAAACAAGTAGTGAAAGGTATACTTCAAAGTGGAACTGGAAGTTTAAAGACATGTAAATAAGTTTTTTTCTATGTGATCTATCTAATTACACCAAAAGACAATGGCGCAGCAGTCCTGAACAAAACATAACACGGCATGAGAAATGTTTGCTACTCTTCCTCACCGTGTGCAGGGTTTGCAGTGAGGGTGTCCTCTGTATGCCGATGGTAGGCTGCGGTCTTCGTGTTGGGCTTGGGGAAGCAGAACTGCCTCTGGTGGCAGTGGGACTACTGAGCTGTTCCATGCTGCTGGAGCGGCTTCCTTTCACTAGTCTACCAACACTGTTCAGACCAATGGAGGAAAAGAAGCGACGCAGGAAGAGCTTTGGCCGTCCATCCAGCTTTCTGTAAAAGGAAAGTTCGATTTTTTTTACTAGATAATATAGACTCAACTTTTATTAAAATAAACACAGTTACATCCCAACTACACATACTTTTTAAGATGAACTGTTAAAACAACTATTTTGGTAGTGGTTGTACTCTGCTATCAATAACTACAAACAAGTGAGGCTTTTCATTACCAGAAGGGGGCAGGCTTGTCTTGATTTTCACAGAATATTTTTAACAATAACATCCTGTGGCCTGTAGGTCAGGGTTTTAATCTCCTAACTGCTACCAGTCTGGCCGTTTTGGGAACAGCGATGGTGGGGGCAAGGGATTTATTGCCTAAGCTATAAGAAGAGCGTTTTTATCTTGGCTAACCTGGACCCATCAGAGTTTTCCTCCCATACGGCCTCAGCTTTCAGATGTTCTGCTCTCAGCAGTTCTGCCCTGAGGTCCTCAGCCCGAGACATAGCCAGGCCGCGTAGAGCAGGACGACACTCTGGTCCAGAACCAGGGTCTCCACTCAGACCTGCTGGTAGAAAAGCATGTACGGCGTTGATGTCAAAAAATATTCTAAAATATTCTATTTTATTCTGCTCAATTTGTTCTTATATGTTCTAGTCTGTTTAGTTTTGTTCTGTTCTGTTCTATTCTGTTCAAGTTTGTTCTGATGTTTTGTATTCTATTCCATTCTGTTCTGTTCTGTTTTGTCCTGTCCTATTTGGTTCTGTTCTGTTTTATTAAGTTCTGATTTGTTCTGTTGTATTCTGATCTGTTCTTTTCTGTTCTGTTCTAATGTGTTTCGTTCTGTTTAGTCCCTATTGTATTGTATTTATTATTTATTTTGCAAAGTTTTACATTGGATGATGTGAGTTCCACAAACAGATATCAGCTTGTGATCCTATTTTTTCAGAAAGTAAAGTTGTAGCTCCACTTTTCCACAGTGGTTGAATGTAACAAGTAATCAAATACTGCAGTTAAGTCCAATTTTTAGAGCTTTAAGTAACATAAAATGTTACTTTAAAACATGAATATTTTTTTAATACATTTAAATAAATATGTATTAATATGTTTAATAAAATCAATCAGTCTATTTCATTTTGTGCAGTGAGTACTTTCATTTTTAAATTTACTTAATTAAATGCAGGACTTACAGTATTATTATATACAAGTTACTACCGAGCACATCTTCCACCGCTGCTTTTCCAGAATAGTAAATCCCATAAGTACAGTATCACTCTATGACATGTAAATGGAAGAAACTACAGGTGGTGAACTCTCTATGCGATCTTCCATGACATAACCTCACCTGTTCCATCTGGAGTGGCATCCCAGTGTTCAGCAGCTGGCAGGTCAGTGGCGAGCCGGGCTGGGGAGTACCTCAGAGTGGAGGGCCTGATGCAGGGCACTGGGATGCTTGTTGCAGGGGTCCCTTGGGTTAAAACCATCGGAGACTCTCTTCTTGCCTCTGGAGAGTCCAGTAGGGCAGAATGCTGGGATCCTTCCTCGCCTCCCTGATTTGAGGTCTGGAACTGAACTGTGGACTGACCTGCAGCAGAACGATTTCTTGAACTTGACTTCAGGGCTGACTTTATAGGCAGCGCTGGGGTAGGTGATTCCCTTAGTCCACCAGATGCTTCCAGCAAATGGGGCTCCAAAGCGATGGGACTACCTGGGGCGAAGGAAACAGCTCTGCTCGAATTGACCCTGTTCCTGGGATTTGAATTACGCCGCTGAGCCCAAGACGGACCGTAAGGGCCGTGGCCAGACTCCAGACGACTTTCTCCTTTCCTGCTCCTTCTCCTAAGTTTCCCAAACCCAGATGGTTTCCACCCTGTGCTACTCTCTTTATTTTCCCCCAGCACATAAGCCCCAGCAAAAGTGACAGTTAAGGGAGCTTTAGGACGAGTACTTGCCTCTGGCTTGTTTGGAGGCACCCAGTGAGGAACCCCTTTTCCCCGTGGGTCCTCAGGGTTGCCCTGCTGCTGCAGCTCAGTGTTCTGTGGATCTGTCAGTGATGAGACTGGCTGAGGTTCCCTGACTACAGAGCCACATGCCTCACATTTCTTCACCAGCACTATAATCTCTTTAATCACTGTTTTGGGGTCACCATTGACAACCACATCTTCTTGCTTCTGTGAAGGAGGCATGGAGACACTTCTATGTGAGACACTTCTGCTCCTCTCTGAACCACTGCTGCTAGAATCTGTATTACTTTCTTTGCTCTTGGACTTGGGCGTTCCGGGCCTTCCGCGCTGTCTTACTCTGTCCAAATACCGAGACTCTGCTTCTTTTTCTGATTCATCCTCGAAGCGTACCCGTGTGGGTGAACAACCATATCGTCTGGATCGACCACCCTGGGGGGAAGTGTCCCTTTGGTTGGGGACGAGGAGGGGACCTGGTGCACTCTGTGCTGTAAGATCTTCTTCTGTTTGAACAGCTTTCTGCACAGGTGTTGGATTGGGAGACTCAACTTGCTGCTTTTTTCTGCAATAAAAAATATGTAAGTGCATATTATACACATTCTAATACAACACATATTTTGAACACATATAAGAGGTTTACACTGGTGTTGAACTTTATTCATAAGCTTGTATCTTATTAAAGGAGGTTATGTGAAAGCAGAAATGAACATGAAAGTGAAACTGAATTTCAGCCATCTCTCAGCAACATCATCAGGTAGATAAACAAGCCTATTGCATCTAAGTGTGCTGACATATGCATGCTGATATGGCACCCATTTTCAAAATAAGAGATTTCTGCTGATTAAATAAACAAATGATGCAATAAATTGCAATGCAACATACAGTGGACGCAACAAAGTAATTTGCATAAAAGGAATTAACTTGTTGCTTGTAGCATATTGACACACCACTGATTCATAGAGATACATGTGTATACAAAGGTGCACAAACACAAATAGGGAATTCACAGTCTCGAACATCTAACTTGTGCAGATTACAAGGTAGATTTATTTGCCATTTTACGACACAGGCTAGTATAATGAGATATAGAAAGAAAGTAGTCATAGCCCGCTTAAGTAGACAACTTACACGTGGATCGCTGATCAGAATGGGAGCGTCTGCAGGGGCGATCACCTTTAATGTGATTGCAGCGAGCCTTGAGTCGCGCTCGCTCCAGGAGAAGCTTGGCCTGCTCATGTCTTGGGCTCAGAGGAAGCTCATCACTGATTACAAGAAGTGACCTGAATCCAGAGAAATATGCAAATCACTTCAGAAATAAATAATTTAGATGATGAAAACAGCAACGGAATGGATAAAGTTAAATGTATGATGAGACAAGGCTATATCGCCATCTGTTTGTGTGAAATTCAATATTTGATGTCTTTAAATGCACAAAGCTTATTGTGTGTTGTGACATATCCAGCAACATCATATTCCCCACAGACTGACTTAACATAGAGTGAATCAAGCTGCGTCTTCCTAAGCTGTCTTATGTAATATGAGATAGATAGACTGGGGCGTGGCACTGGCGGTGAGCAGCAGAGAGAAACGTCATCCATCCATCTATCCTTATGCCTAGCAGCTAAGCTGCTCTGCATTGTGCTTCATCGTGTACTCATCTTTATCCCCTGGCCCAGTGATAAAGATAGCATGATACACCGTCCATGTGGATTATCCTTGTAGTGGACTGAGTGTGATTCATTCTCTCCTGGGTGTCAAGAAGAGAACATATTGTGTTTCAATAGATTACAGTTTGTCATGTCAGTGTTGGGATAAAACACTGACAGGACAGTCACAGTATAATTAGCAGCCTGTTTTGGCACCCCATATGCAGCTGTGTTTTATTCTACAGTCTATAATGATGATGACCATAATGCACTCCATAATCAGTGGTGGAATTAACTACCGAAGTACATTTACTCACATACTGTACAAATTCACATAACTTTATACTTCAAAACTTTTTATGTGTCTGACAGCTTTAGTTACTTAAGTTACATTTCAGATTATAATTTCATACGCTTCCTATGCAGTGAGAACAACGTATCTCCAAATATGATGATTTTTCTTTATATGGTTTTTAAGTGGTATTTTATACGTACTTTATGGGTTGGGAAAATTTTTGTACTTCTTAAGATAAATAAACTATTTACTACTACTATTTATAATTTTGCTGATAATACTTACATACATACATACAAGTAAGATTTTGAATGCATGATGAATACTTGTGGTAGAATACTTTCACAGTGTGGTATTGCTAAGTAAAGGATCTATAATAATAACAGCCTATAAAATACTGCCACCATTGCAGAAGATAATCTGAAAAGGATGGATCAGACAACCAATTCAACTAATGAGCCCAACTGCTGAAAAATGTTTTATAGCTCAGTTGCACAAATGTGTTTAATTTATCTATCTTTTTATTTATTTTGTTTCACTTACTTCCTTAAGTTTTTGCCTGGTGTCTCATCTATAATAATTACAAGGTTTTAAGACTTATGACTATTGTAAAGTATCACAGTGTGCAAATCTCTCACAAATAAGAGCTTCATTTCATAATCTTATTTGGTAAAAATATCACCTTCATCAATATACAGCATTTGATATTTAGATTTGTTTATGAACATATTCTATTCATGCCTGCTTCACCTCTTGAAAATGATTAAACTCAGTTGTCACAGTTTGTTTTGATTGTACTTGAGGCAGCTTCAATGGCGTCACTTTGCATTGAAAAGTAGTGGGGACATTTTAGGGCTCAGATTAGAGATGTGACAAAACACTTAGCATACAAGACGTTACAATCCAGAATATTGGGGTCACAAGAACAAGACTAGAAGATATTGTAATACTATTTAAAGAAAATATTCATTGAAATGAATGAAAATATAAAAACAATAGGGGGGATCTGGGGGTCCTCCCCCAGAAGATTTTGAGCATTAAACACTTCATTTCCTGCATTCTGGAGACATTTTCTGTACCATTTTATGGTGGAGATGTTTTTATTTATATAAAGGGGAAAACAAAATTCAGGTGGCAGGTGACAATTCAGAATATAAAAATATAATTGAATATAATGCAGTAATCAGTAAACTGTTTTTTTTAACTTCTTACGTATTTTTTTGGGACAATGCAGATCTGTTTTTTCTTACATTTTTTTTACATTGCATGCTTTCTTATTGTGCCAAAAAACTTTCTCATAGCACTTGCATTTGTTTTTTAACGTTTCTTGTTGCAAGCTATTTTTCAGAACATTTTTAACAAATGCTTTCAAAAAGTGGTAGGGACATGTCCCCAGCGTCCCCAGTGTAAATGACACCTATGGGCAGCTTGTTTAACACTCTAGCTGCTGCCGTCCGGGGAGGGAAAATAGACTCTAAATTCCCACAAGTGGAGCTGTAAGAGTGGAATTTATGAGGAGAGGATATAAATAGTGCATAGGAGTTGTATGTCATCACCCCTGCCAAGCACATAAAGAAGTATTGCATTGCTTACCTCAAATAGGGTTCAAGTTCCTGAGCAAGAATGGCTGAGTCTGAGCAGTCCAAAACCCCATGGGCACCTGCGACTGCCATTAAATAGAGAGGAAAAGAATTAATCTCAGCAGATCTGATATGAATAATTCACATATAAAAGCTTTAAAAAGTGCTCCAAAGGTTTAATGCCCACAAAACACGGATTTTCTGTATTTGTTTCCTCTCCATTTAGCTGGATAACACATATAACATAGTGTATGATTCTTATTTGTTGTTCAGGTCTTATGTAGCGCTTCTTGAACTCTACTACCAAGAGAACCATCAGCCATAATGGACGGTGCCATCTGGGCATTCAAATAATTGGATCTTTGTATGATCAAAAGGATTTTCATAAATCTTCATACCATTAGATTCAGTGACAGTCTCATAGGTTATCCCTGACCTATCCCTTAATGACAGTGTAAAAAAAACAGGTTATGCAAGTAGTGAGAGAAAGATAACGACAGATTTCCCAGAGATAAGAGGGAAGAATCATGGATTTACCCACAGGTCTTTTACTGACTGCTTTGGTATTGACATGCAGTACACATACACAGTTTTACTAATACATAGTATGGGAAAATATATAATCTGTCACCCTACATAGATACAAAGGCATCCATTAGCACACAGACAGAGATACAAAAGCAGGGACACTTCCCCCACCGCTCTGACTGCTAATAATAGCAACAACCTCATGCACATCTGCACATCTGACATCTGTTCAACACTGGGAATCTGCATTTCCATACAACATCGCAGAAAGGTAGACAGACAAAAGCTTGTATAAGGAACTTTAGAGCTAGAAAGTATTCTAAGCAACAAAGTATTAACATTTTAAAAAGGTTTACAGGGTTTCTGGGGGACTTTTTTTTAGAATAATAAAATAGATATGGATATTTAATCGAGCTGTCAGAGGCTTTGCAACACTTTGTCAGGCAACTTCTATGTAATACAATCATTTCATGACAAACTAAAAATAAATCCCATTCAAGATGGGGAGGAGGGATCTAATCGGCCCAAGTTGGCCTCTCAAGCCCTTGAGTCAAGTTGTTGCCTTATTTATGGCTCCCCCCACTCATTACAAAGTTTTTACATTTCACATTAAATACATCCCAATTCCCTCAAGAGACCTACCGTTACAGTCCACTCTGCTTGTCGTGTCTTCACTCCGCTCTCTCTCCTCCCTGAAGTTCTGCTGTCTGTCCCTTAACTTTGCATAAGCCCTCTGCTTCACCTTTAGTTTCTCCTCAGCCGAGTGTACCCCAATTTGTGAAGACATGCCCTCCCAGCTGTCTGAACTGCACAGTCCTTTGCAACCTGCCTCATTTTGCTCACACCTGTCCAGGTAGCACTCCACGCTGTCCGAGTGTTTGAACTCTGAGGATGCATCGCTGTCATCCACCGCGCTTCCCACATCACCCTGGGCGCCTGTTTCAGCTGGTTTCGACCTCTTCTGAGGCTCTGCCAGTGCTACTGTCTGAGTGTAGTCCTTCAAAGGTAAAGTGGAGGGCATGTTGTTAGGGCCAACGCCATTTAAAAGCAATGTTTCCGGGCGTGCAACTCTCCAGAAACCCTTGGGTGGCGCCCAGCGTCTGGTTGGTGTGAAAGATGTGGTGGAAGACGAGAAGGATGTTGTAGAAGGAGAGGAGGTGGCAGGAGAGGATGAGAGCACCGGTAGAGGAGAAGGAGAGGAAGGATCATCCTTACTGCTGCTTGAGTTATCAGACAGAAGACTCTCCAGACTCGTACCCTCCTGGAGCACACGTGGCTGGCTTGTTGGAGAACTGACATGGTCCTCATTTCTTTCTGACCTTTCTTCTTCAGTTTCCACTCCCCCTGGGAACACTTGCTCTCTTTGTGCTTCCGCTGGTGGGCTGTGGATCTCCAACCTCACTTGCACCTCTACCTCCTCCTCTTCATCACTACTGCTCAAGTTTTTCGCAGCACCCGACCGCCAGGAGGGGGCAGGCAGAGATACCTGAGCCTTTCCTCTGGGCCGCTGTCGGAGGAGGACTTCAGATGGAATCTGCCCAGCTGGACTGCTCACAAAGACCTCTGTGTCCAACCGGTCTCTTTCTTTCTCTCTGTCTCTGCCTCTTGTCCTTCTCTGTGTGAGTGACTTCACCTTGTCTGTAGTGCGTGCACAGCCGAACTCTGAGGAGGAGGAAGTTGGTTGCTCAAAGAGGGTGCTGGGAAAATAGGCTCAGGGACTGGGCCAGTGATGAGTCCCCAATTAATGGGAAGCCCACTGGGTAAAGGGGAACTGGATTGTGCTTGGATATTATTAACCACCTTCTGTTCCTCCATCAGCTGGTCATGCATAGAAAAGTCCAGAGAGATCCTGTAGATGAAAAAAAAATAATTTACAGGCATGTAAAAAAAAAAACATGTCTCTTACATCTGTTCTACATCTCTGTTACCAGCTACTTTCTATCAGATCTGCCTGGTGAGGAGATATGTAATGTGGATTCAGTCACGTTGCCTTATCCACTGATTACTTTGCACAGGATAATCCTTTAGAATGAGAATAAGCAACTGCTGCCTGCCACTGAGCCCCTGCATAAATAAACAATATTATAAATGTTTGCTTTTGACAATATACAATAAAACAAAACTTTTTCTGTGGATCAGTCGCATTTTGTAGTCAATATAAATGCTGAGAAAAAAACGATTCATTAATTATTCAGCCTTAGGAAAATTAAATATGTTTGAATTCAGTGCCACGTGGGCTAACAACACCTTGCTAAAAGTCACTTTAACAAATCTAATTAACATTTTGAAGAAAGTAAGCTTCACTCATTCACTAAAGACTATTTTTTGACTATATTTTGTTACATAAATAGGCTAACAAACTGTAGCCTATCTGGATATTTACAGAAAATTGTGTCCTTTAAAACACAATTACAGCGTTGTCTGTCACGAGGAAGTTACATTAAATTCAAAGTGCAACTGCTTAAATGTAAATTAACCATTCCTTTTAAAAACCTGAGACAACCGTGCAGATTGCTATCGCAGCGCGCATCATCAGGTCGGTCGCCAACAGAGCGAGAAGACGGAGCAACTTTTCCCCCTCCGGAGAAAAAAAACCCCGAAACCAAATAACATCTCTCAATGTTTCTCCAGATCCATGTGTTGTGCTTCTACTCACCGTCTACTCAGCTCCAGGTCCTGGCAGCGTCGGGCGAGCCAGCGGCCTCTCACTCATGATTGGTCCGGTAATCCCTTCAGAAATCAGTGGGATTAGACAAAAATGGAATACAAAAAATGCCTGCTTTTAATTTCGTCCTTGCCTCGCGATCTCGTTGCCGACTGAAGCTCTCCGTTGCGTAAGTGCAGAGCACACACACTGACGTCCTGCACACAGTAACAAGCCAATGAAAAAGAGACAAAATACAACTAAAATGCCCTAATGGGCTTCAGTCTAAATGAGTTATCCCCAATTTCCTGTCCTTTCTGGCATGTTTCGATGGTTGATATAAGGATGAAAGCTATGTTGTGTTTTAAAGAATATAAACTATTGATGTTGCATCGTAAAAACAACTGTCGTCTGGGTCTTGTTTGTCAATACAGCTGATCCCTCCCGTTATATCAGCTCACACAGCTCCGTCTCTTTCTATCTCTGTTTTCATACATGCGTGGGCACACACGCGCATATATGCGCTCGTGCACAGTCAGTCCAATTGACAATGTTCTGCTTGCCAGTTGTCACAATCCCCCAGATGTGATCAGACTCAGGCAGATGCTGCTCAGTTGTGGTTGTGCATGCGGTTTAATGTCAGTAGAGGGCGCCATTAGCAGCACAAACACACACGCGCATGCACACGCACATACACACATCTTGCCCAGCTAGCTGTAACCGGCTAGTGAGTCTGTTGTCGAGTTGACACCCTCCCCAAACCTCGGCAGCAGCAAAGCTGCACAGTCGACATGGCAAGAAAATATCGCAACAATTTCCTAAAGAAAGATGAAAATCTTCCAAGTCTTTTGGAATGAGTGAGTAGTATCGACAATAATTATCTATTTGTCCTGATGGGAACTAACAATAGAAGTTGCATATTTAGTTTAAGTCACATTAATGACGCATAGCTATGCCTAGTAATTGCTAACACGAAAGGTAGCCAGCTAGCTAACAAGCTAAGTGCTACCGGAGGGAGGAGGGAGGTTTGTTCGCTAGGCTGTTAGCCTTCTGTGCTCAGTCCGACGAGCAGAGTAACGCTGTTTGTGTTAGCTGCTTCTCAAAATTTGACCAAAACACAATCCTACGGTAATTCTGAACGCCAGTAAATTATTGTGTCTGGTGAAAGTCAATACGTTTTTAAGGCAGTTGTATTGCTGGGTTACGTTAGTTTCGGATGCTAGCGTTACATAATCTCGCTGTTGAGAGTCAAATGGCTTCACTTTCCAGTGTGACTGTGGTTCATCTCTTGCTATCGTTTCCTTGGCCAGTACGCGAGATGGTAGTTCATGTTCTTGGCAGTGTAACTTAATGGATTCATAATCACGGCTACATTTTGGATAATCAATGTATCATGATCAACCAATGATAGGTTTTAGATTATTAACTACTTGTTTTTATGAGACGACGTTTGCTAGCTAGCAAACTAGCCACCCATAGCTTAGCTTGCTATAAGTAAGCTAACGATACCTACGATTAGCTAGCTAACGTATCGCTTTATATCAGGGAAAGCTTTATTACGTGTGTAACGAAACATCAAGACGATTGCAGCCTCGCTAGCAAACTCATTGACCAGAAATTAAATATATATGTTTTTACAATTATGTTGCGCAACTCCGCGAGCAAATGTTAGCCTCACAACAAGTTAGATAGCGCAGGGGGACTTGGTTGTCAGTGTTAGCCTCTTCAAGACCCTTTGTCCATATCATAGTGGAAACCAGCTCTTCTAAGTAGGCCACAGCAGTTGTTTTGATACTTCTCCGTCGCTTATTTCCTCTGTATCTTACAAATATGCGGCGTGTAAACTCTGATTTCTTTTTATCTGTTTTTGTGTTGCAACTGAATAACGCATACTGGCGAGTAAGCTAGTCAAAAGCAAATAGACTTTCGATTATATATTTTTAATGTAACGTTAGGAAAGCATCAGTAGTCCTTCGAGAAACATACTTTGTTATCCCACTGGTTTAATGCATTTTTAAACGACAGATGCACTGATACACAACATAGCTGTGTTATTAAACTTCACTTAGAATCTGTTGGAATATAATATTAAAAGCATTATAAAGCTACATTTTCACTTATATGCCAAATTGTTAAAATTTATGTCAATGCTTGCACAATTTTAATTATCTTTGTCTTTCTCTGTTACAGTATTCATCACGCGATGTGATCCAAAATGAGAACATTTAAGAACGATTGAGTTCGGAAGAAAATTTCTTGATTCCAGTGGAATCTTCCATATATATATATATATATTTGATTTTTTTCTCTGTGTTAAAGCTTACATAAATTTACACACACTTGTCCCATCAACATATAACCATGCCAGTGCAAGCACCACAATGGACAGAGTTCCTGCTGTGCCCAATCTGCACACAGACATTTGAGGAGACTGTTCGCCGGCCCATCAGCTTGGGCTGTGGACATACTGTCTGCAAGATGTGCCTGAACAAGTTGCACCGCAAGGCTTGTCCCTTTGACCAGACAGCCATCAGCACAGACATCGAGCAGCTACCTGTCAACACAGCCCTGTTGCAGCTGGTGGGAGGCCAGGTAAGATGCATGTCTGTGTGTGTTTGTACACTTGTTTGGTAGTTCATGACAGAGATCCCATGTTGACAAAATGCGTACAGAGCCCTTGTTGATACCGATGCACCGAAATGAAAATTCTTGGCCGAAGTTAAAACCGACATATTATGAAAAAAATTGCAGAACAAAACATTCACATTTTTTCCATTTATTTTGTCTATTTTTTACCATTGCATAAATTAAATAGTCAAAATGTGCTTGTTTACTCAGTGTTTCCCACAGGATTTGGAGAGACTATGGGGATTGGGTCCGAGGCCTGAGAGGGTCCGGTAAAGCAAATTACACGTGTCCATGTATTTTTAATGGACACATGTAATACGTTTTATACTTTCTGTGAATATAATCCAATTAATCTTATTCCCATCCTGTACAGACACCTTATTTTGAAAACCGGACGTTGTCACATGTGTATCCTCAGGCTAAATTCATCAGGTCCGACCCAATTTGATAAATAATGTTGTATGTGGTTCACGTATCGCGCCACATGAAGACTTCATAGCCTCTCTTCAGGTAGGACTCTCACACTGCAACACTTGTCTTTGTAAAGAGAGAAACTGACAGGATATGGTCGCTAACTGCCTGTCAGCTCGCACTGGTCCGTTTCAGTGGATTTACCATAAAGGCTTGAATACGTGTGCACTCCAAATTTAGGTGCGGCTAGCTTAATGGCCTTCTCAGAAACGAGTGACAGAAACACTCAAAGCGTGTCAGAGCATTAGTTGCCTTTTCTAAGAAGTCAGGCACAGATGGAGTGAATGTGCTAGGAGACTATTCAGCAAAACACTGTCTGCAAATGCCAATTTTTGCGTCTTTCTTGGACACTTTAAAATGCTTCCACGGTGCCGACATGTCGATGTAATTGTTCAGTAAAATTTCTTCGGTCTTTTGACTTATTAGGCTGAACACCGAAATGTTTTGTGTTTGAGTAGTGGAACATTTTAGTATACCATCCTATCTTGACAGTATGTTTTATGTAATTACTGTTTATAGAGTATATTAGAGCGTTAAGCAGGGCTATTACATGATGCACATACCTTGAAGAGTCCTGTTGTGAGTCACACTCCAGTCATTGAGCAATAGCTTTAATTCTGTTGGTTTACTGAGGGCTGGCACATCGGCAAAGCTATATTTCTCTGAGGCAGTGTTTGACCAACAGGGTGGGGCACCTCTAATGGTGTTTTGACTTTGTTGGCCAAGTTTCCAGATATACATTGTATAGTAATGGATTATGTCACGGTATCGACAATGTGCCTGTTGTGGTGCTTTGTCTCTTAGCAAGTGCCTTCCTTGCATATGTGCTCATACAGGTTGGTTAGGGTACAGTGTCCAGTGAAATAAAAATGCCCTGATAGACACGGAAGTTGTTATGATAGTTCTGTACGAATGTCGTTCATGTAAATAACCTAATTTATCATGTGAAATGCTCGTTAACTGCTGGTCATTTTGGTCAGTATCAAAGCGAAAGGTCTGAGGTTAAGATGGTAGAATTATTTTGATAATTTTATTAGATTCCTGATGGTTATTTAAATCATCCACTGCAAACCTTGGAAACTGTGCCTGCTGCAAAGTATGATACAGCACGGCCTAAACATGAAAATACAAACAATGATGAGAAATGCTCTCTATTTTGAAATTACTTGTATTAGCATTGCCAGCTGGGATAGGTGCCGTTCAACAAGCCATGACATGCAGAGAATGGAGCATAAGCCATCAGAACAATATGATTCTCTAAATGTTCTCTAAATGTCAAATCTAAATTTCCTTGTCATATTTATTTGCTCTGTCTGTAGTGTAAGTAAGATCCAGGGAAAACTGATTAGTGGAGCATAGTAATAGTAATCATCACAGAAACACAGAATCACCAAATTATTCTTCAATAGGATATTATGGTAGTTCTTTATTTAAAAAAAAAAAGCTTCTTGGGACAGGGCAGTTGCATGACTTGTTTCAGTGTATGAGTGCTGCTGAGTGTTTGTAGATGTTTTCAGCAACACGTTTTATACATTTTACAATTCTGTTTACTGTAATTGTTGAGGTATTTTAACATCAATTGGTTGACTCCTCAGTTGTGTTTAGCTGTTTTAGCCAATACATTAGACCAGCGGTTCCCAAACCTTTTAGGCAACATCTACATCTTGACCGGGTTGCTGCACCCCACAAACCACCTCTCTCTACTTTATATATAAATTTTTTTTTTTACTATTATTTACTTATTTATTAGCTTAATGTCCCGCCTTTGCTCCGGTCAGCAGTGGAGCTGTGTGTTAAACAGAAGGCAGCCGATATTACTGAAGGTGCAATAAACATCAAAATATGATGTCCCTGTTACACCAGTGTGAACATGCCCAAAGTCACAGCTACAGGGATTCACTCAGTGACACTTTTTAAAGTGACTGCTTTTAAATGAGTCGATCTCCCCTTACCCCACTCACTGCACTTAAACAAAGAATGCATCTGCCTGCTCTGTCTTTTCACTGCAACTCTGCATCGCGATATAACTTAGTAAGTAATAGTGGCAGTAAAACATTTTCTCATACTGTGATGGTTAAACTTTGCAATCAGTCTACAATTCACCTGTGTGCCAAACCGTGCAGAGGGAGGTGGGGTGTATTTTCATGACAAAAAAAATGTTTCAAAACATCCCCCCTCTGTTTTCTCATAAATCGCACTGTGTATAGCCTCATAAACAGATAACATGGACAAAAAGAGGATCCATATTAGGATTTGGAAAAAATTCCACAAAAAAATAATTGTTGTAGTTATTACACTACTACACCACCATTAAATTTTTCCTGTCGCGCACCACACTTTGGGAATCGCTGCATTAGACAATGAAAAGAAAATGATGGCTTATAAATAATTGTACTAAAAGGCTTCAGCCATTGCTATGGGTTGTCCTAATTACCCCCCCCCCCACCTGGGTTCTGCTGCAGGTTCCTAAGGCTCAGCCAGTTGCCTTGATTACAAGTCCAGAGGACTCGCAGCATTATGAGGAGGCCAGGCAATGTGTGGAGGAGCTGGCCCTCTATCTCAAGCCTCTCAGCAACACCCGAGGTACTTAGCGCACACACACACGCTTGCAACTTTAATAGTTTGTTGTACATTTGACATTGACATTCTTGCAGCCTTTAAATGAAACTCTGGAGGTTGATTTCAACATGGGAAATTCCAGTACACAATATTCTTCTTCAGATGTGAGAATACTGCTGCTAGGTGACTGTTAATGAAGTTATAAAAGAAGTTATTAGTAATTTCCACAGGGAACTTTGATTAAAAACACAAGCATACATTACAACTCATGTACCTGGAGCTGTGTGAAAATTTCCACATACAATGTTGTGAATATGACATCACTGGGTTGTTAAATGGACTCTTCTCGTAAACCTGGTTAAACAGAATGATGACGATGGCATTGTAAATTGCACATCGCAGATATGTCAGATAATTCAAAAATTTGACTTTGTCATCAGTTGAAAGTTTCATAAATACTAGTCTTTGTATCTTACTATACTATCCTGTAATTCATGTCATTTGTGGGACAAAAAAAATTATATTAGATGTTTTTTTGCCGTCTTGCGGTTAGTGCCTAAATCAGAACATGAAAGTCATTAAAAATAGAAAAGCAGAAGTATTTTTTCCGTTAATATAGCTCAGAGTCATAACTCATGCCTAGTTCTCATTAAGGCCTCTTTAAAAGTGATCATAGTTACATATGGTGCTGCACATTTACACAGTAAATCATTACATGTTTCATTAACAAAAATAAATATGCCAATAATTGTTTTTGTTCAAACCTCTGCCATTATTTAAAACAGAAATCATATTTTCAAAGAAAGAGGGTTAAAGGGGGGGCTTTCCTGTGTGGTCAATGCCACCATAACTAGTGGTCAAAACCATAATATTCAAAAGTCATAGTTGTCTCCTTTTTATATTGGTTAATAAATTTAAAACCTTATGCCTTATGAGAAAACTTGTTATGAAGGTATAATGGCTTATAAAACTCTTGCCATATTGTTCACCTGAACTAAACAGATGACAGGAGGACAAATCAGTAGCTAGATTTATTTCGGGAGGGAAGAAGTCCGAAACGTTAGGTGGAATAGCACTTCCGAATTTTGAGAGAGATTTCTATGCAGCCCAACTTCGTCCACTTATTAATTGGTTTTATTAACTTATTAATTAATTTGTTTCTTTATTACACCTAACATAAAAAGCAAACCACTTGGAAGGCAACAAACATGCTGGAGGCAGTGTGACCATACAGATGCAAATCATGCACATTAAATATGTTAGGATATATAATATCCAAGAAGTGTTCCATTTTATACCTGGGCAACTGATTACTTGGTCAAAATTCTACTCAGGAAGGCTATTACAAGAAATCGGCTTCACTTAGAATTGCTGACAATTTTTCCACGCCGCCCGTCATCATTCAGCAACAACATTTACACCTACAGGCGTTATTGGAGGGCAGCCATTAGGTGAGGCATGCAGGGGGCCTTAAAAGCCTAACCCGTTCTTGTATCAACAAAAAGGGGTATAGCCTACAAATAACAAATATAGATAGAGACTTCAACAGCACCACAAACTACATCCTCCATAATGATCATAACGTTGAATCAGCACCTCTCTAAAACATTATAACCTTCATGAAGGAGGGATTTAGTGCAGGAATTTTTTATTAGATGTTAGTTTTAGCCAGGTGTGCCTAATAAACAGGCAACTGAGTGGATATTCCCTTGGTTTATCAGTTGTCCTGTCTAATTTCTCCCCAGGTGTGGGTCTGAGCAGCACGGCCCAGAGCATGCTGAGTCGACCCATGCAGAGGAAACTGGTAACTCTGGTCCACTGCCAGCTGGTGGAGGAGGAGGGCCGCGTTAGAGCCATGAGAGCTGCCCGCTCCCTGGGTGAGCGAACTGTCACTGAACTCATCTTGCAGCACCAGAATCCGCAGCAGCTCTCCTCCAATCTGTGGGCTGCTGTCCGTGCACGAGGATGTCAGTTTCTAGGCCCAGGTAGGTAGTTTTCCATGACTTGGAAAGTGAGACAAGCACATTCCACTTTAAGGAAGAAGCTATCTGTCATTTGTAAAAATTGGCTTTTGGTAATCATCTGTTACTTGTGGTCTTTAATGTTTGTATTTTTCCTCCTCCAGCCATGCAGGAGGAAGCTCTAAAGTTGGTTCTTCTTGCTCTAGAGGATGGCTCTGCTCTGTCCAGGAAGGTGTTGGTTCTCTTTGTAGTGCAGAGGCTTGAGCCACGCTTCCCCCAGGCCTCTAAGACTAGCATAGGCCATGTGGTACAGCTCCTTTACAGGGCCTCCTGCTTTAAGGTATGTCTCTGACTGAGAACCAGAAGAAAATTCCCTTCATTTTTTAAATGTTCTGACATATAGTGTATGTCATGTGGTGCTGATTCACAACAGGGCCCATTAACCCAGTAGTAGAGTGACCCTGACCATAACTATTCCTAATCTTACACTGTCACAGTGTTTAGTGTTGTCCCAGTAGAGATTTTATATTGACTCGGTCATCAAGAACTTGTGAAAAACACAAAACAAACTCTCTGCAGAGGAAGCCAAACAGGTAATTACTAACAAAAAATTCAACTTACTCTTTTCTCCTTCCTCTGTGGTTATGTAGGTGACCAAACGTGATGAAGACTCATCCCTGATGCAGCTGAAAGAGGAGTTCCGTACTTACGAGGCTCTGCGGCGCGAGCATGACTCTCAGATAGTGCAGATTGCCATGGAGGGCGGGCTGCGCATCGCACCTGACCAGTGGTCTTCTCTGTTATACGGAGATCAATCTCACAAGTCACACATGCAGTCTATTATAGATAAGGTGTGCGAGAGAGTTTTCGTTGCGTTTGTTTCCACATCATGGATGATTTATATGTTCTGCTTATACATTAGTTTCTTATCTCCTCATATCAAAGCATATTCTTACTTAAGAAATCCTGTTTACCGTAAACCTACTCCCTGCTTATTTTTATTTTTTTTTGTTTAGCTGCAGACCCCGGCGTCTTTTGCTCAGAGTGTCCAGGAGCTGACTATCGCGCTGCAGAGGACTGGAGACCCAGCCAACCTCAACAGACTGCGGCCCCACTTGGAACTACTGGCCAACATTGATCCCAGTCCTGGTAAGAAACAAGCCAACTTCAGGAATCTTGGTTTTGTAGTTACGTAAGGAATAAGTCAATTACTTGAAGTGTCACAAGTTGGAATCCAAACAATGACCTTTGTATCATCTCCGCCCTCTCGCTCACATCTTTCCTGTTATGACAGTATATCTTGTCCAGTAGGTTGGGTTTAAACAAGCAGCAGGTATGTTTGAATATGTTGGGATATGTCTTGGCCAGAGCCTAGCTGTTACAGTTTAACTGACCCTCAAAAATTGCTTACCGTATTTTATATTTATCTGAGGGGCCCACCCAAAAAAATTGTGTATTTGTCTTCAAAAGGTCTGCATGGAAGTGTCTTCTTGACCAATGTTGACCACCTCACATGAATTCAAACACCACATTCCCAAACTTTACTGTCTTTCATTTGAAAAGTGTGTATTTATCCCTTATGACAACTAAAAGCCAACCAGCTATTAAGCAAGGCACTCATTCCAAATACAGAATCACTGTTTGGGAACTGACATTCCTGGCCTCTAAGGTTATTTGTTGTTTATGCTGGTACTCAGGCGTGGTTGTCTTGGGCACAACCCACAAACACCTCAAATGCATCAAATCAAATAGTTAAGATAAGAGCTCTGTTTTTCCTCATATCTCCATTTGATTCCCCAGACGCCCCCCCTCCCACGTGGGAGCAGCTTGAGAAAGGGTTGGTAGCCGTGAAAACAGTGGTGCACGGCCTGGTGGACTTCATCCAGAACCACAGCAAGAAAGGAGCTGACCCTCAACAGGTCAGTCTGTTAATTGGACCCCACATTGATCCCATCCCTTGGATGTTGCTTAATGAATGCAGGCTACACCCACAGGACATCATAGTCCAAACACCACCATCATTAAAACATCAAAAGAGGGAATATCTGCTGGAAGAATGTTGATCATGACTGCAGTAGAGTTACATGCACATTAAAGGATTGTGATGGCCCTACACCTTACAGGGACACTTTTTCTTTTTCTTTGTTACAAAAAAAATGATTTAGCCAGTGTCACTCAGCCCTGACTGTAATGTTAAATATCACCACCATTGAGTGTTCATCTCTGTTGTTGTGCTAGGCAACATCCTTAAATAGAGTTTAACCTGATGACACAAACCTTATGTGTTCTCAGTGTTATGTGGTCTTTAATAATACTTGGTGTCTCTCTTTAGCCTCCTCAGCACAGCAAGTACAAGACATATATGTGTCGTGACATGAAGCAGAAGGGAGGCTGTCCTCGTGGAGCCAGCTGCACCTTTGCTCACTCTCAGGAAGAACTGGAGAAGTGAGTCTGACAAACGTCAACATTAAGAATTGTTTACATTTTTTAAATTGGATATTGCAGTTGAAATGAAAGTATTGTCACCCCACCCAGCATCTCTTAAACATTTTGTACTTTGTTTTACATTGGTCAGGTATCGTAAGATGAATAAGCGTCTGGCAGCTCGCCTCCCTGGCTCAGGAGGGCTTATGCCAGATGACGGCCTCCCTCTTGATGTAGCAGTGACCCGGAAGCCTTCACCCCTCACAAATGGCAGTGGTGCGCCGTCTTTGCCCCAGCTCATTGCCCGTGGCGCCACCGACACGTATGAACTGCTGCGAAAACCCATCAAGATGGATGGAGGGAGTCCCAATGCTCCAGGATCACCACCTGATGGGTGAGTGTAGTATTCATCTGCTTGTTCATTTAATAGAGCAAAAGCAACAGCCAGTCATGTGCCATGAATTGTTATTCTTTACTCTAGTTTGATGTTTTAGGCTATTTAATGAACTTACCTGTGAGATATTTAACAGAGCAGTGTTAAATACATCCTGAAAAACTGTCTGCAGGTTGATGATTACTCAGTAAGGACCCCTTTACGCTAGACAAAAAAAACCCTTAATGGTGTATTCACATACAACGCAAATTTAATCCTCGCAACGCTTTCCTTGTGCGGGTTTTATCGCTTGACAACTGCCAAGTGTTCACACACAACACAATAAGCGAATAAACACAAACCGCAAATACTACAGCTGAACCCAAAGTAAACATTTTGCTGTGATTTAATTGCAAAAAACAGATCAAACTGATGCCGAAATAACTACAATATGATGGATGGATTTGTTAAACATATGAATTCATGCTTTTCAGGTTGGTCAGCAGGACAGCAACTTTTTTAAATGTTTGTTTTCTGAATGGAGTTCGGATCGATCAGGGCTAGGGTTGGGCGATGTCTACAAAATTTCCATTGGACGATGTCTACATTGAAACTTCGGGATGGATGATGGCATTGGCGCACATAGCGGTCGTCTTATGTGCATGTGTTCACTCGCACAGACTTTACTCGGTTAAAAACCTGGTAGCCTATGACGATACAAGTCGCGGAGGTATGGTGTTCTGTGTCTTTTAGGCAACTTTATAAAACGTACTGCTGATGGAGAAAGTGGAGTAGACGTGCGAGGGGGGAGACAGAGGGGTGGTAACCTGGTGTATTTAACTGAGGTGTCGGCCTCTTATGTGGGGAGAAGAGAAATCCGAGTAAAGTGCAAAGCATATTTCAAATTTATAATGTTCGTTGTAAAACCTGCTTTCACATGGCAGTATTATGTGAAAAGTTTGATTTTTGTTTGTTTGTTTTTCCGGGGGGCGGGGTTTTACAATCACAATGCCTGCTCAACCATCTGTCAGCCATCGCTGATGGACGATGGCATTGTACAACGATAGCTGGAATAAAGTTGCAGACACACATTTTCTGAACTAACCAGGTAGTTACACTTGATTTCTTTTCTCCAAGCAATGTCTAGTTTTGTCCGGTTTTTATATAAATATGAAGTAGTAGTCCAACAGAGCTCTTGTTGCTAACCGATACTAACAACAGTATAACCGGAAATGCACGGAAGCTAGCTGCTAAAAAGCACGAGTGAAGATAAATCAACTTTGTAATCCCAAAAACTAAAGTAAAAAGCTAATTTAATAAAAGCAGTTAACTCTGAGCTCCTTCAACGGGTAAACGGCGTAGTTGTGAGATAGGGCTGGAACCAACAACTACTTTGATAGTCGATTTAATATATCGAATAATCGACTATTTGGATTATGAATGGCAAACATAATGCGTCTTATTTAGCTATCAGCTTTTAAATTACACTTGAGGTGGTTTTAGGCATGTGCTTATTAACAGTCACGACAATAAAATAGATATTGCTTTCAAAAATAGCCTACATCTTTTAATGAGCGTTTCTGCTGCAGCAACAGAAAGTTCTACTGAAATCAAGCTTCCTGATCTGCTGTTTAGTGACGGAGCAGTTTACGCGCCAATACTGCAACACACCAGGACAAACTGACACTACAAAGAAAGGAATAACGGCATGCATTACATTTGCCGAATTTACAGGGGGATCAATAATAACGATTTTGTAGTATACAGCATTTCACAACGTTTATATATTTTCCCCAGACTCAATAACTCACAAAACGCCGTGATTTTTTTAAGGGAGTTTGGGGCGGATTACCCGCCGTCTCACGCATAGACAGAGGAACAGTTTTCTCTTCTTTAGAAAGAATGAAATTGTCCGGTCTAATCTTGCGCACTCGTCAGCTACACGTTCTCCAGCTGAGAACGTTGTCATGAACGATGCATCGTTTGTGATTGTAAAGTCAGGGCACATCTGGAATGTGAACGCGGCCGTTGTGTATCATAATTATGTGCTACTCACAGCACCATTAACAATCAATCAATCAAATTGACCAAGGGAAACTGTATAGAAAACGTTACAGCTCATAACGTGTAGTAGTATTAATGCGGCTTTAACGTGAAACTAGCTCGCTAACTAGCTTACCGAGACGAGTCTTCATCATCCACAGAGCAACAACATTACGTGCCTCCTCTTCGGATGCTCCGGTGTCTCCAGGAAAGCTCAGCTTTGCAGACACTGCAGTTAGCAACCTTTTTTGGCTGAGTGAAGAGTGAAAATGCTGCCACACTCTGAAGGCTTTGGGTTGTGAAGGTGTTATTGCAGCGCTGATGATGTGTTGTTTTAGTAACTTTACTGTTCACATCACTTTACTCCGTTAAGCTGACGGTGTCGTTACGGTCCGATGATGTCATGAATTTAATTATCGATTTTCGTTGACTACATCGATTAGTTGTTGCACCCCTATTGTCAGAGCATTATCCAGACCGACTACGGGTGTTCATTTGTCCAAAAGCTGCAGCGCTGCTCCCGGCTCTTTCTTCTACTCTTCCCTGTACTTTAGCAGCTCTCTGTCAGCCAGCAGCATTTCACTCCCACGCTCTGCCTGGTCCTTTCGCAACAACACTCTGAAGTGTCAGTGACTTCCAGACAATCTGACCGCTGATAGGCTTTCGCAACATAGCGTCGTGAATTTCTCGCTCAAGTTGAAAAATTTGAGCTCGAGCGAACCAGTGAATGCCGCAACAAACGCTTCTTCCTTACCGCCTGAAGTGAATTCACAGGAATTCGCATCTTTGCATTGACTTTGTATGTAATCAGGCCACTTTCAGTGTGAACGCAGCATAACACCACTAACAGGCTTTTGTCTTTAATGTGTAAGGGTACAATTTGCACTCACTGTCGGGTCAAATGACTCTGTATCGACCCCCGGGTGGACCCTTTTCCAGCCAACTCTTCTGTTTCTATCTGTAGATGTCTATAAACATCTTATCCATAGGGGCGGGAATCTCTAGGCACCTCACTATTCAATTCAGTTGAGATTTAGAGGGCTGCAATGTGATAATAACACGATTATCGATGCATCTTTTTTTCTGTGTGAAATCTGAATAATTACTAAGCATTTAATTTGCACATTAAAATCTAAAAGAAACGTCTCCTCCTTAGCTTAAAAGGACTAGCTTGCTTCCCCTTCCCTCCTGGTCACCACCTTCTTCTCTTTAATAGCCATTTTTCTGACTCCTCTGAAAACTGAAATATAATTTAACTAGTATCAGTATGGACAGTATGCATACAGGACTGAGCTGTACACCAGTTTAACTTGTACCTGATGTTCTCAACACTGGACAAGTAAGTAGTAATGACATACAGCAAACATTAACGTTAACTTTGTTACTGATTTAGCTGGCGTTACATAGCAGCCAAAACACATGCTTCACAGGTGAGATGTTAGCTAGCGCTAACCGCCTTCATTTTCCAGCTGTTGGGGAAACAACAGACTTTTATTAACGGTTGCACTGTGACCTGTACTGGACGTTAACTGCCAGACTGACAACTTACTGCTAATATCTCTAATAACTACGCTATCTTTCACCTTCACTTTCTGCCACTCGCGCTCTCTCATTTGCTCGTCCACTCATTCGCTACGCACACACAGGACACACAGGGAACGAGCCAAGCAGTGGTTGTTACTGTGCTCACACAGTGTGACAGCCAATATTATTAGTTGTGTATTGATATTAATGACCGTGTTAAATTTTAGTAGGGTGGTAGTAGGTTATTCATTCTGCAGCGGAAGTGTGACGAACACAAGGGAATACTACAGAATGTCCGGGCGCCGCACATCAGAGAGTTCTTCCTTTTGCGTTCCATCAGTTACCTTATTAATCAACATATAAATAATAGTTTTTTGACATTTGTTAATTGATTCAGAATCTTTCACGTCCACATTGCGATGCATCTAAGAATAGATTTTTTTTCTCCCACCCCTAATGTTTATGTAGTATTAGCGTGCTAGGCTAATGGTCCATGAACTGTTACTGTATATGCGCGCACGTGTCACCTGCCCAGCACTGTGCTGTTAACCAGAAACACCACAGCTACAAGTTATTCTTACATAGTCTGTTGGCTACACACAGCAACCATTGTCGCTGGCTTCCATGATGCTTTCTACTGTTTGCTAACCCTGTTTTCTGGCATGTTCGTGACGTCATATGCAACACATCAGAACCCCCTTGTCTACTGGCAATGTGAAAGGAATCAATCGCTTATTTTTAGCGGGTTTACCTGCATATACCTGCTAATTGTGGTGTTAAAAAAGGTTATACATAACATTTGAAATGAAAGCCTGCAGGCTCTTGGCACTCAGTGGCATGTAGTTGTTGTTAATGTATATACTTGTTTGTGCTCATTGACTGTCAGCCTGTTTTCTTTAATCTGACACTTATTCTTGTAGCATGGACTCTGTGCCCAAACCCAGCATGGCTCTGCCACCTCATGCCATGGCCCACCCAAGGATGCCAATGGACCACCTCTCTGGGGTGAAGCACATGCCTGTGATAGCCAGAGGTTCGCCAGTGTACACCCAGACACAGCTCACTGAGATGTGCTATGACACTCGCCCACCGCCCTCTGCTTCTCAGTATGAGCCCCCACAATACCCCACAGGTAAGGGTCAAGTAAAATGAATAATGCATAGTGTGTGTGTGCGTGTGTGTCATTTGCGAAAGGGATGTTTGTAATAGTCTACAATTTATTGTCTCAGGGTACCCCTACCAACAGCCACAACAGTATGTTCCTCGGGATTACATGCGTAACCCTCCTCCACCCAGTGAGTCAGGACCCCCTTACCAGGATCCCTACCCTGGCTATGGCCCTCCAGAGCGCCCCTATCAGGCCCCTCACTCTGGCCCACCCTTCTCCTACCCTCACCCCCCACACCATGACCGAGGTCGCCACGGGACCTACACTGGCCCACCTCCTCCTCCGCAGCCATACCCATCTCAGAGGGATAACCTGGTCAGAATGAGTCCCGCACCTCTGGAAGTACCCCCGCAAACAGGACAGGCTAACTCACTTTACCACCAGGAGCCCAGTGCCCGGGATAGATACCCTCCAGATGGCTACTATCCACAAGGTGCTCAGCCTCCACCCATGAGGGCATATGTCAGGGTGAGTCTGTTTGGATTGTTCTTACTTTTAGCTGTTTGCCTTTTAACTGTAGTTACAAAACACTAAAATAAATGCTAGGAGTTAAGCAGCAATATTTCTGTGTGCGTGTCTCAGGGGCCATCATATAGTGGTTCTCAGCCCAGCCTGGACTACCTGCACCGACGTCGGCAAGAGCTGTTATCCCAGCTGGAGGAAAGGAAGGTTATCTCTCCTCCACCATTCGCTGCCTCCCCCACTCTTTCTCATCCCTTCCCCAGCGACTACCCTCCAGAGGTTAGCACTAAGTGAATTTCAAGAATCAAGAGCTTTAAGTGACATTGTGATGTAATAGTTACATCACTGTGACTGTGAACACATGCAAGTATTGGTTACAGCACTTGTCTGGATGCTCTGTGTCTGCAGTACGGCGAGGAGAGCTCCAAAACCATGATGAAATGCAGAGAGCCGGACTATGCCGGACAATACTCTCCCTGGTCTTGTGAAACCATTGGCTCCTACATTGGCACAAAGGATGCCAAACCCAAAGACGTTATGGGTCCTGGTACCATGGAAATGATGGTGAGTGCAGATGTTAGTAACCATGTCAGTATTTTCCCATTAGGGGTCGGAAAGTGATGCATTGTGCATTAATAAAGGGGAGCATGGGGAGGATAACAATGCAACAAGCTTAATTTCTGAATGATTGAGGTGAGAAAAAATAAAGAAAGGGGCTTTTTGCCTCCTCAACCTCTTCCTAAAATCTCCATATTATAACCCCTCTTCTCTGTACCCTGCTCTCTCCCTCCGTCTGTCAGAATGTGGAGGCTAAGGGTCTGAGGGAACCATCGATGGAGGCTCCTCGGAGGGGTGCTGAAGTCAAGGACGATGACCCTATTATCCCATTTGGCCCCCAGCCCACTGTATCACGCTTTGGTGCCATCTCCCGCACCCCAAAGATGGGCTACCAGACCACCGCGCCTGTACAGGCTATGGTCTCCAATCCCCAGAATCCAAACTCTAAACATATGGCCATGCCAGGTAAGACCCCTTGTGCACAACAACCCATGGATGACTGATAAACAGATATCAGAGGTTGATCTACTGTTTTTGTCCACACTTGACTGCTGCCACCTCTTTTGCAACATGGTCTTTTCACATAATTGTGCTGTTCATCATTATAGTTGTCATGAATACATTTATTACAACCATTTTACCCCCTCGCCTACTGCAGAATACACATATGGAGGCCATGGAGGATGGGGTGGAGCTTCATACCCCTCCCACCAGGCTGCTTCCTCCTCTCAGGGACACTTTAGTGAGCGGTGAGGACTGCATTTGTTTTTCCCTGTCATCTTTTTAATATTCCTATGATATATGAGAATACTAATAGGAAGTGAAAGTTTGTGGTTGTGTAAATTTCTCACTGTATTTCACCCTCACAGCCTACCTACAGCAGCCCCAGACAGAGAACTGCTTAAGATTGAGCTGCAGCAGGTCAACCAGCAGATCACCCAACAGACCCAGATGCGAAGCATGGAGGTGTGTATCCTCTCAAATTAACGGAGGACCTACAAAGGTCTGGAAAGTTCAGAAATTGATTTGATCAATTCTGCGTTTTCAAGAAATGTTTTTAAACGACTTCATATTTGATGTATTTATAGCTCTATCCTTTCATGGGATTTATTTATGGTGAAGGGTAAAAGCAGTCACTATCTTAAATATATTGTACCCTGAAACATCTAGTCTCAAAAAACTTTCCATTTTATGTTGTATTTCTTCTAATTATTGCCTTTTCCACATTGCATCCTTTTCACTTCTATCTCACTCTTACAGCCTGCAAGTAACTCTTTACTGCTGCAGAGGGAGAACAGCACATTGGCAGGCCAGCCTGTGCAGCCCAGCCAGGGCCAGGCAGCAGCAGCCCAGCAACAGCCCAAGTGGCCAGCAGGGGGCGCAAGTACAACAGCTGTCTCCAGCGAACAGCTAAGCCTTGAGCTCCACCAGGTGGAGCGAGAGATCGGCAAGAGGACCCGTGAGATGGCTTTGGTGAGGGGGGGGGGGGGGGGTCGAGCTATTGCGCAATAACAAGGGATGTAACATACTAACCATGTATGCTGAGAGAATTTGGGAAGAGGGGTGGAGGGTTATTAATGAAAAGGTCCTGTGATGATTGGAGAAGGGGACGCTTAGTGACATCTCAACATCCAACAAAATGGATATTTAAGCATGTATCATAACACTCTGCACAATATACATGAAAAGTCAGTTTTCTACAAGAATCCCTTCAGCCTGTCCTTGTGGAAGCTGTGGTATATGTATATATGGTGTAAATCATAAAATGAAAGAAATATACTCAACAATGATTAAAAAAAGCCATTTTTCTTTAGTGCATGTAATTTTGCAACACAGTAATCCGGTTGAGACCTAATTTATTGATATATTAAAATATCGATCTATCTTTACTGTGCTGTGCTACGATGCCAAGTAGCTCATGCCAGCCAAAAAGCCAATGCGTACGGTAACAATGACGATGGAACTCTTATCTTTGATTGTTGATTGGCCACTTCCCTTAGCTATGACTAAACTAGTAAGGTTCTGATCCAAGTACTCGTGGTGCAATCAATGTTAGCAGCTGATCTCATTACAAACTTAACTACTAGTCTCAACTTTACACCCTAACTTAGCAGATAACTTGCACACATGTAGCTGGTGCAACCCAGTTGTAATCTGGGCCATGGCTGAAGTCTTCATAATGACTGATAAGAGGTCAGTTGGGTCAGATAAGCACAACATTTTCTCAATTACGGAATATGTAAATGGGTGTCTTTCTAGGTACTAAGCATGTTTTGTCCATCTCCAAACCAGGAAAACCAAGTAACCCATGATGTTCAGCAGTACAAGATGAAACCTGCAGAAAATGGGCAACCAGAGCACAAGACTCAGCTGGAAGACATATCCCTGGCTCTTGGGTGGGTAAACATGGAACATAAATATGTGTGTATTCCCATTATTGGCCTGACATATTGTCAGTATACGTTATTCTCACGGGTTCTTTTATCGTCTTACCTTGATTCAGCGAGGTGTCAAACGGCTCCAGCAGCCTGCAAGAAAGTGCAGTGGGCGGGTCCATGCTGTCACTGACCAACAAGACGTCTGCACTGAACCTGTGCTCTGATCCCGGTGCCACTGGCTCAGAGATGCAGAAGAATGGCGTTGTCCATTCCTGCTCTTAGGCAGTACACACTTGCACACACATGCACACACACACACACATACACACATGCACACACTCAAGATGCTCAATTGAAAAGCATGCACAGGCACACATACATCCATTCTATTTAGAAGATGAGCAGTATCTGCCGTGATATGAATTTTCTTTCTTTTTGTTCTGTGAATGAGCTTTTTTTAATGACTTTCCTTGCCTGGAAACCAGAGCATATGATAACATTTCTTGTGTGTGTTAATTTTTTTCTTCTTTTGTTTTCTTTCTTTCTTTCTTTTTTTGTACCAGGATTATAGATTAACAAGGCTCACAATAGGTATATGAGGAAGAGAAAATGGTGGTGATGGTGACAATGGTACTGAAATTTCATTCAAAAAGGGCAGGCTTATTCCATCCTTAATAAACACAAAAACATAGTAAAGTATTTGATTGATCCTCCCCACATAAGAGTTTGGGTTTTATTGTATCAGCATACATGTAGATGAGTGGTTAGATTCAGAGGACTAGCACTAGTAGCACTATCACATTGCATGCACTGTGAGGAATTTCTCCTGTCGCAATCTGACGATCTATGATGGTATTGGAGTGTCGCTTGGTACTCACCCCCAAAATCGTGTAAAAAAAAAAAAAAGAAAAGAAAAAGTGCCCAGATCTAGATGGTCTGAGGAGGGAAAAGCAGTATAATATTCCACCAGTATTCAGCTGAATGGTGATGCAAGGTGTTTTGGAAATGACTTCTGCACCACATGCACGTCCTCACCTGCCATAAGAAGTATGATTTTATTAGTGCATTTTATGAACACATCATATGTCTGTTTCATACTTGAAAGCAATATATTATATATTTAATTGAAGCATTCTGTTTTAAAGATTGCAACAAGTCTTTTTGATAATGAGCTTTCCACATGTTTTCTATAAGGGAATCTACGATGTGCTTCTCTTGGTTGTGGTGTGACCTGATGTGGTTTGGTTGTAATGCCTTTCGCCTGTGCTCTGCAGGGCTGCATTCAGCCCTAGCCGGTTATGTTGTTAAAAATTTCAGGGCATGCTCAAAAAATAGTTGTTGTGGGGTTTTTTTTGGGGGGGGGTTAATGCACATGATCAGGCTGAGAGAGAATACATCTTTCTGACTCAGGTGAATGAGCGTACACTTTATAACGTCAGGGTAAATGAGGATTTCCCTCCTCAGAGCTTCTCCTCTGGCCACACAAAAGGCCTCCCCATTGGGATTATCTTGTCATTTGTTCTCCTAACTTCTATGAAGTTGCCTTCCCTTGTGTTTTTGTTTGTTTGTTTAATTTTGTTACATTTTTTCATGCATTACGTTGTTACGATTTGGGGGGTGTGGCTTACCCAGTGAAGGCTTTGTAGAGCTAAGTTGAGTCTTCATCTAATAACTTCATCCACCCTTCATTGTGTCTTCATCATCATAAAATGGCTAAATTCCAAGCAAATCCCAGGCTTATTATTTGTACTATTAGAAAGGTAACTTTTAGCTACACAATACATTCAAAGTCATGTTTACAGCTGAGGACATTAGTGTTGTCTACTGACGGGTAAATAAAAGAACATTTCAAAAAATAGCTGTCCGCAAATATCAGAATTCATAAAATAATTGATATTGCATTGAAAATATTTAAACATCTTTACTGGTGAGTAGGACAATATTCTGTTCAACCTTTCACATTTTTCTTTTCACACCCTGATGACATCATCACCACCATTACCACTATTAAGGCTCTTTCTCCATCATGTGAATTGTTTACTGCTGATGCTCAACACGCAGCTCTTTGCCTTTTTGTAAACAATAAGCATGAATGGCTACAGTTTTACAGCTCTGCTGAGAGCGAGCGAGTCCTTGTGTTTAAACGGTTGAAGGATAGAGGAGATGCCCTGGGTCATGTCGTTTTATTTTAAACGGCGCGCCTTCGTTTTGGTCAGACGAGGGGTACTGAGAAACTGACATGAGTTTGACAAATCTCTGATAACTGATGAGTCAAATAAATAAAGACACGAATGTTTTTGTGTCCCACATCCTCATCTGGGTCTTTCAATGGGTACCTCTTCCAATTTGTCAGCGCCATGATAGTGGATGTTTGGGTTTTTCTTTTTCAAATTTTCCTAGCACAGTTCAAGCCTCTGGCTGCTCCTCGCTACATTTATTGTTTAGGTACACAGCTCACTTATACATATGAGTATGTATACATACATTAATATACTAAAGCACTATTAATGTGCCACCTCTTATTTTACTCGCTCAGCATTTATATTAAATGATCTCTACTTAGAATCAGCAAAAAGGTTTTGTTCTCTTGTTTTTTTTTTTGTTTGATTTGTTTTCTGTCCACTGGTTGCCAACACAGACTTTATCCTTTCCCAGATGAAGGACTTCTGTGCGCATTGATGTGTGTTCACTTAATCTTTTGTGTTCAAACAAAGATGTTCTTTATAGACTATGCTTCCGAAGAAGACAAAATTCTGTAACTTTGGAAAATTTATGGAGATGTTTTGTGTGTGCTAGATTGTATTGTAGAATATGTACCCTAAGTTTTTTTTTTTTTCTTCCTCAAAGTGTGCTGTACTGGGTGATAGTGTTGAGGTATTAGAAAAGTGTTGGGGGCTTTTCCCACCCCCGTCCTCAAGAGGATATTCAGGAAGTCTCTGATAAAAGGTTGGCCTTAAATCCTCTTGCAATGCTCCCTTACTTTGTTTGCTTTAGGAGCATGAGGTGATCTCAAATAGTAATTTACACTGAATTGGCATGGTTTAGTCATACAGATGGACTCTAGTAGATCCCCCCCCCCCCCCCCCCCCCCAATCCCTCCCTTGAAAAAGTCATACAAATCTGCAATAATGCAAATCTCAAGATTTGAAGCAAAATTCTGTATTTTCATTATTTTTTTAAAGAGTTGTTGTTGGCTTAGCTGGGTCCATAGTTTGTTTGTTTTTCTCTTGTTTTTGTTTCTGCAATAGTTGAGTAAATTTACCGACCTGCAAGTCTCACAGTCTTTAATGCATCATCTGACCTGATGTGTATTCAACAGCTATAAGAGCATCCGAGTGACATTCACACAATTTTTGTTCTTCCTCTTTGACTTTAACTATTTACCAGAAATTTGGCAAACTAGCTTAATTTTGCGGTTATAATTCCATGAATTGGCAACATTTAATGGTGTTAATTCAATACGTTGTTACTCACTCTCTAAGTGCAAGTCAACCAAAACTATCACAATGCTGATTCTACCTGATAGGTCCCTGCTGGTCTAAATGAGACCACAGCACCTTTAGCTTAGCAGAACTGACATACAATGACGTATGGGGTGGTTTTACTATCTAGTAAATAGCAAAGATGTTCATTTCAATCTCCTGTGTGTTTTTGTTTCTGAGTGGAACTGCTGCCTCTACCCCTCATTTACATAAATCTAGTTAACCCCTCCACTCCCACCCTTGACCACTGAACTCTGTTACTGCTGTTTGAGGCTCACATTTTATTCCCTGACTTTCTGGGGAAATTCGCAAATGGCTATTTTATATGATTACTCCCTTGTAAAATATCTCTTAAATTAAGGTACAGGTTTGATTTCAGCAAGAAAAAAGAAGTTTTTATATGTATATTATACTCCATTAAGGAATGTCTAGAATTATCTTCCTCCAATGTGGATGTAGCCATTATTACGCCATTTTATGACTTTGTAAGAGAATTCACTGTGTGAAAATTGGTTTGCATTTTTGTATAATACAATCTGCTTTTTTTTTCGTTTGATACGAGAGGAAGGTCAAACTGGAAGTTTGAAGAGAGAAAAAAAAAATGAACCTGTGAAATTAAAAACAAAGTGTAACTTATGTACAACAGTGATTCTAAGCTGAGGGGGAAAGATTAAATGATATTGCTAACTCTGAATGTTTGTGTCATAGTTTTTAATTTTACCAGAGTTCAGTTAAAGAGCAACTTTGCCTTTGAACATTCACCCTGACCTCAAGCCACTTTATGTGATGACGTAAAGTGCGTTAAATGTTCAACAGACAGTCGCTGCATTTCTCTCATCTGGTATGAAACTACTATTCAATAAGTACATTTCTACCACATCAGCACAGAATGAATAAAAAACAGATACAACTTAACGTAAAGGTGACTAACAATTCAACTACCATAGAATTGAATTAGCACCTCTATAATCCATTCTCACCTAAGGTGACTGCTAATTCTTGATCTTGAAAACAGCAGTTGACAAAACAATATGAATCCAAGGTCCACTTACTCTTTGAACATTCTGAGTGTCTACTTCAGCAGATAGTTTGCTTAGTTGTCAAAGAACTATAGATCTTAACACATTCCCTGATTGATAATGAGCATCTGAAGGACTTCTTGTCAATGTTAGCTCAACTTTTAAGGCCTTCATCTCCTAAATTCAAAAGCTCCAGAACGAGAGAGTAAGTGGATTTTGAGTTGATTGTTTTGTCATCAAATATTGTATGCTTTGGACTTGGTACAAAGAGAATTTGTTTTCTACACTTAGATTTAATTTGAAAACTAATCCATCAAATGGATCCAAGTTGTATAGGTAGCGTTCTTGGATTACTCATTGTGCTGAATGTTGTTATTGGAGCCTCAAAATATGCAGAATATGAAAATGTGCTCATGCCCACCACTAAACACATTTCACGCTGGTTTCACAAACACCAAGATAAAATGTCTGACTTTCCCAATCACCCATTCAAAACATTACTGAACATTTATCTAAAGCACAGTGAGGAATACTGTACACTCCTTAGAAGGATTTCAAGAAGCATTGATGCTATTCTAATATTTGTATATTTGACTATACAGAATTTTTCATAGCTCTTACTGTGGCTCAGTTTCTGTTTAACATGAAGCCCACACTGCCCAAGTCCCTTTAAAATAGTTACCAAATCATCTGTTGCCACTATTTGAGTTAAGGTGCAGCCATTACTGTACAAAGAGGGGAGAACATCCGGGAAGCGCAATTAATATAGCAGGGTGCTGATAAAACATACAAGATGGGGACTGCACAAGATTGTAAAAGACTTCCGAGCAAGTGTTGAATTGACAGGAGTATGAGCAGTATTATCATTTATAGGTTGTTTTTTTTATGCCTCTACTATACCTGACCAGGTTCTGTTCTACATAACAGACATCAGATGTAGATGTGTTTGTTGAGACCTTTTAGACAGGCTATAGTTGAGAATTACCTTGAGGTGCTGGTCAGCTAGACTTCTTAAAAAGATTTTTAGGCTTTATTTTATATATTTCAAGAGAAAAACTCTGTTGACTTTTGTCTAAAGAAGGACTCGTCTTGCACTGCTCTCAGTCTTTACTACACTGAACAAAATTATAAATGCAGCACTTTTGTTTTTGCCCCCATTCATCATGAGCTGAACTCAAAGATTTTCTCTATGCATACAAAAGGCCTATTTCTCTCATATATTGTTCACAAATCTGTCAAAATCTGTCAGTGTGCACTTCTCCTTTAGATAATCCATTCACCTCACAGGCATGGCATATGAAGATGCTGATCAGACAGCATGGGTATTGCACAGGTGTGCCTTAGGCTGGCCACAATAAAAGGCCACTGTAATGGCTCAATTCTAAGAGGAATACATGAATTAATATCACTGTTTTTTTAGTAGCTGTGCCGGTATTTTCTACAGATATATTGAATTTGATGTTTATGAACTGATATTCATAATAGAGCAGAATAGCCTCTAAACCTGACTAGATATGAAACATTTTAATATTAGTCTGACACCCAAATAATCGGACACTGTTTTCTTCCTGCAAATACAATTCCCATTCATTTCCCTTTTTATTTTACCTGACTACCCCAGTGGATGCAGATCTGAGCAGGTGAGTGTCCATACTTCTGTGCCAGCTGGATAATAGTGGGGCTGCTAAGGGCTTGACCCTTGGCCAGGGGACAGTACCCCTGAAATGCGATGCTCTCCTGACGGCAGTTCTCCATAAGCTTACTGGGCTGCTGGAAGGGATCCACCTGAGGGTGGATGAAGTTATTAGTTTATATAACGATGCTTATGATAACAGCTGGCATGTTCTGGTTGATACTCATGCGACCCAAATTCTTAAAGTAAAAGTTGCTAACCCCAATTGTACGGCACAACCCTTTAGGAACACAGCCAGAAAGAGATGTTAGAAAATAAATAAAATGCTATACTCATTATGTATTGTAAATATGTTGATTTGTAACCTGGTAATTTCACAGGTTGAGGTGATCACTGTATCCAAAAAAATATATATATAAACATTTGCCACAACACTGGTTAATAAATCAACTAGTAATTTATATGTTACGAACTTGTATTTCCTTGTATTATTACCTTCTTCATGAAGTTCTTCCAAAGCTCTCCAGGCCTCAGCTCTCAAATCTCTGTTACAGCGACCAGGCTGCATGTAGAGGCCTTGTTGCAAGAGGTGAATCTATGAATTTAACAGTTGTTTTCTTTCAATACCATCATACGACTTGAAAACTAAAGAAATCTCACATGGTCTCACATGGCGCAGAGCAGTTTTTATTGTCAAAGTGGAACATACACTTTATAAATAAATATTTAAGCGGCTCAAAATCATCATTAAAATCTTACATGGGTCAAACTGGGCATTGCTTGTTTGTTTTACATCAATAATTTCATTAAAACTAAAGTTTTTATTACAATAGCTTCAGGGAATGTAACCTAGTGACTGAGGGGGAAAGATTAAATGATATTGCTAACTCTGAATTTTTGTATCATAGTTTTTAATTTTACCAGAGTTCAGTTAAAGGGCAACTTTGCCTTTGAACATTCACCCTGACCTCTAGCCACTTTATGTGATGACGTAAAGTGCGTTAAATGTTCAACAGACAGTCGCTGCATTTCTCTCATCTGGTATGAAACTACTATTCAATAAGTACATTTCTACCACATCAGTACAGAATGAATAAAAAACAGATACAACTTAACGTAAAGGTGACTAACAATTCAACTACCATAGAATTGAATTAGCACCTCTATAATCCATTCTCATCTAAGGTGACTGCTAATTCTTGATCTTGAAAACAGCAGTTGACAAAACAATATGAATCCAAGGTCCACTTACTTAACATCTAAAGTTTTTATTACAATAGCTTCAGGGAATGTAACCTAGTGACTCAAAATCCAATCCAAAATGTCTTTAGAGCAAGCATCATGGATATCAGTGCTTTCTCTACTTTATGAAAAAAAGGTTTTGTATTTTAACAATGGTTTTTGTGTCACATTGTGAACACATTATAAATACAAAAATAAGAACGTATTTAGACAAACTAAAAACTGGCTGTGGTGATTGCAAACTAGTATAAAGCATTTCACACAGTTGTTTATGGTCACTTTTACTTGGGCAGATCTGATATTCTTTTCCCTTGACCCTTTTCTCTCCTGTTCTTGGGTTGTGGCTTTTGCCGTCCAACAAGCTGAGGTAACGCTGTTGATTGTCTGGTTCCCCTTCGTCTAAGATTAAAGATTATAAATCCAACTCTGTCACTGAATCCTCATCCAGCAATACATACTACTACTAGAGAGCAGGTTAGTTATAAATCAGGCCAACATGACAACACACACTTGGTCAGTACGTAAAACATTGCATTTATTTCCTGAAATATAAATACTACAAGGACAGATGAGGTGTGGTTCACAGTACTGTACACTGTTTACCTGAGAGAAATAAATGATCAGGGTGAAAGGGTTTTATACATTTTCATAGGAAATGCATCCTGGTCATTTCAGGGGTAAAAAATAGGTACAGTAAATAAACAATACTGCAAAACAAATCTACCTACTAGTACAAATAAAGTAACCTGACCATGAACTGCAAGTCCTCTGGTAAAGCCTGTAAATCTTGGAGTAAGGAAAACCTGCAAATTTTGCAACACAAACCTGCATCCTCTGTGACAGCTTTATTTTAACAAAGGCATTTTTGTTTTTGCTAAAATCACCTTTTCTATGTTGCCTATGATTGTAACATCTAGTCGTTCTTACATCATCATTTTTATATTAGTAGTTACAGTATTTCTATAAAGTAAGGCACTTAAAGACCTTTTGGTCCTTTTGTTTGTCTTCACAGAGCTGAGTTGAATGAGCTTCACATGTGACACACAAAGCTAATGATCAACAATCTAATTCAAATCATATTACAATCTCAAGGTTAGTTCTACTGCCAACTGTTACCGACAAAACCAGTTCTAGGGCAAACACACTCTTGAGTTTTCTCACGTAACGTTACTCCACGTTTGTTGGATCCCAAGTCACATGTCTTTCATCATGTAATCTGCCCAAAGCGGCCATGTCCGACTCCTCCAGCTGGAACCCAAAGACCTACAGGATGCGTGCGAGAGAGGTAACAGGTGAAATGAGAAAATGAATGGCTGTGTCATTAGAGATGAGAAATTAAGAGTTGGCTTCAGATTGCCTCACTTCCTGCTCTCCTGAGAGAGAACTGGTTATTGTTACTAAATTTTACAGAGAACTATTTGAATTAATCTCCCAGTTTTCCATTTGCTGTCAGTTTCATTTCAGGCCTATGCTAGAGTATTCTGCTTAGCTCCTTATAATTCATTTTGTCAGATGCATTTATTAAAATGTGTTTCAAATTATGTATGTTAACCTTTTGCCTTGTTTCTATTATTTTTACATGTATTTTTGTCATCACACCTGCTTGACAGGTCTCTCAACATAATTAATCATTCTTAGCCTTTTATACAGTTAGAACATTTCATATAATGCGCAGTCATGTTGTGCTCTGCATTTCTAACTCACTTGACAGTTTTCTTGTATCCTCTTCTTTTTGATGGATTTTGGTATTGTGACAACTTCATTCTAAGGACAATTAGAGAAACAATAGCATTGTGGGTAGAACACTTACACATAGAGACAAAACGTGTTAGGCCAAATCAACATAAGGCAGAACATATCTCAACAATGTGACAACCTGAATACTCCAGCGGATGCAGATCTGAGCAGGTGTGAGGCTGTACTTTTCTGCTATTTGGAGAACAGTTGGGTCACTGAGGACTTGACCCTTGGCCAGAGGACTGTACCCTTCAAACACAATTCCCTCCTGACGACAGTACTCTATCAGTTGATTGGGCTGCTGGAAAGGATGGTACTCCACCTGATGGGTCATATCATTTTTAACGTATCATACATCATAAGCAAGTTATGTAGGCACTTGAGCTCAACATTTACTTGTATACTCCAATGCTATTATAAACAGTACACACCAGATTTTTTAAGTGGAAAAGGCACCCTACAAGATTCAGGTGTACAAAGGTTATTGGGGCAGGGAGGAGGGCAATACTCTCTTTCTACTGCAAGAGAAGCAGTATAATTTTATGGATGGAAACTATAAGTGTGGATCTGGGAACCCTCATGAAGGAGCTACTTCTCCCTCACCACCACAACTAAAAGGGTATTCGGACTGTACATATTTTGTACATACTATATCTTCTTACATTTTTCATATCAACTCTGCAACAAGCCAATTTTTTCACACACCAGGCCTGAATGACCCTAAGGGCTTTTTTGCTAAATAAACACATTTAATCTTATTAAGAGTTTTCTGAAAACAAACAAACTCTACCTGGTTAACATGTGGCGCGACACTACAGTCCTCCTTTAACTGTTCCAGGTGGTGGACCAGAAAGTTGCTCACTCCAATAGCATGGCACACCCCTATAGTGACAAACATGATATTTATGCTCTATGAAATATGAAATACCCCACTCATGATCTTCCATGTTTTGTACCTTCTTTATAAAGTTCTTCCAAAGCTCTCCAGGTCTCAGCTCTCATCTCCCTGTTGGAGCAACCAGGTTGTAATGACCCTGGCCAATGCATCAGGTACAGATCTGAAAAAGGGGGGCAGGTGATAATTTTTCATGAAAGACAACAAACTGCATTCACTGTTAGCAAATGAAGACTGACATGACATTAAATAGCAATGAACCATTATTAGAGAGGTGCTATTGCAATAACACAGAAAAATGTTTCTGTCAGTTTCTGTTTAACATGTCTTTCACAACTCATACCAAAATATTCCACCCCCATCTGTGAGCAGGAGTCAAGGCAGGCCTTCTTTGTAGCTTCGTACCCGTAGTCCCCTGGCCACAATTTATTGGTGAGCCACAGATCACTTCGTGGTATCCCACTTTCTCTGATAGCTTTACCCAGTTTCTCCTCACAGCCATAGCGCTTTGCTGTGTCAATGTGGCGTACGCCACATTCAGTGAGTGCATACACAATGGCATCATGAGAGTATCCGCCATCATGTGATGTGCCTGGTATAGAGATATTAGACAAAATATTGGGAGTCAAAAGCAATGTCAGTTCAGTTCAAATTCAAAGGTCTTATTGTTTCTGTGTTATTGTTTTTTTTTCCACCAGAAAGGTTTTAGTACCTTACTGCCACAACAGATTTTACTTCTTAAAAAAAAACACCAGGAAAATAAACAATCAAGAAAAAAAGAGACATACTTTACTTTTTGTATGTGTAAATGTTTATGAGTTGCCAATGGACAATATAGCATAATCGTATAGTCATCTTTCCCATTTAGGGTTCCTCCCCGGAATCGCCTATTTAAACAACATTGTATGTTAAATAAATAAATAAATAAAATATACATAAAAAAGAAAAGTAAAAAAAATTATGATATTTTGATACACGATACAATGCGTGTGCATTTTTGTGTTTTTTATTTGCATTATTGTCATGAGACACGTCCAATATCTACCCAAGTAAAACGCACCTAATCCAAATATTGGAATCTGCAGACCATTGGAAAGAGGGACTGTAGGACATCTCAGCAGTGGTGCAAAAGACATGTTCCCCTGTGCCGTGGTGAGAACCCTGAATTACATAAACTATTATTATTTTATTGTTTTCTTCATCTATTAACGTTAGCTCCTATTGCAAAGCTGCTACTTTACGACTAAGTTAACTTACCCACAACTTTCCAAAGCACTTAATGTTAATTGTAACGTTACATACCTGTCACAAACAATTTTAATCACTGCACCAATAACGAGATGTACTTGAGCGTTGCTGTAAGCAGTATACTTTCGAGTTTCAGGTTTTGCATGTGAAGTAGTTTACGGAGTTAGCTTCTCTGGGAGTGGAGGTTTGCCTCCAACGGAAAATCAAATCACATGACATTCAAGCCTATGGGTGATCCAAGATGGCGTCGGTTTCCAATAGGTAAGGCAAAGGCACAAGTGATCAAAACTGATAAACGACACTAACTACAACATAGACAAGTAAACACACAGTCTGAAATAAATCGCATTTGTCATGTAACGTTAGTCGGTAATTTGCAGGTTTTTCAGCAATGCAGTCGTTTATTTTTGAGCTGTGACATCCAGTAAGTTGCGGTGAATGGTAGTGTGTAAGAGCTCTTTGCTTTCAGGCTCTCTGGTGAGAGTCAGCCAACATGGCGACCATGTAAAGCAAACGGTTTGTTTACAGTGCCAACAAAATGAGGTGAGTTTAGAGTTATGGAAAGAAATAAAATGTCACTTTTACTGTGCTAAATGTAAATAAATAACGTTAGCTATATGGCAGTTTGTTAACTCAAGGTATGGCGTTATGCAAGTTATATTCTAAGATAACGTTATGTTCAACAAAATAAAACGTAGAAGTTATAAATAACAACAATAAGGCAGTGTTTACATAAGATAACATTTCATTTGATTTTTTGCAGAACAAATTCGGTATGTGCAGAGGTGAGATAATGGACCCCTCAAGGAAAACTGTTCTGGGACTTTAACAAAAAAATAAACCTACAGCAGTCTCCAGCTGTTGACAGTTCATCAACAGTTGTACCTTACTTTCAGCACTGCTTGTGTGCACCAGTCTATTGTCATTTTAGTATTTTCTGAGAGCCAGTAGTGTGTTCAGAGAGCATGGACGTGGACATGCAATCCTTAGGATGAATCCAGTAAGTGTTTCCATAAAAATAAGTAACATTGCGTAAAGCCATGCTTCTTTGTCTAATAACATTGTTTAATCTAGTCTAAGTGGCGTCTATTTTAAATGCTTGCGTTCTCGGATATCTCAGCTAGGAGGGACAAAACCTAGAGCATATTGTAATGGGATGTCCTGCATGTGTGTGAACCCCCGCAGGGTCTCCCGTTGCTGCATGGGATTGCGACGAACGTATTTGGTTTGGCCAATCCTGTTGCTACTCCTGGTCGGTGCAGCCTTGACAGCTCTGCTGCCCCCCGCTGAGGACCAAGAAGGCGTTGGTGTCCTGGGAGTGCTACGGCGGGCAACATCTCCAAAGGAGAATCCTGCACAGGGCCGCCATGGTGACAGTGCAGAGGAGGAGCAGAGGTTTACCATCATCATCCAAACTTACAACCGCACAGACATTTTACTCAAACTCCTAAACCATTACCAGGCAGTGCCTCATCTTCGGCGAATTGTCATAGTCTGGAACAACATTGGGGAGCACACACCCCTGAAGTTATGGAACTCTTTGGGGCCTCATCCAGTCCCCGTGGCCTTCAAGGAGCAGACTAGCAATCGAATGCGCAACAGACTTCAACCATTCCCTGAGATAGATACAGATGGTCAGTATATCTTTCACCTGGCATTTTGTCTGTTTCAACATTTTTTTTCAGTGGCGTTTGTTTGACTTTTGCTTAATCCTTAGCTGTGCTGATGCTGGATGACGACACCCTGGTCAGTGTTCCTGATATCAGTTTTGCTTTCTCCGTCTGGAAGGTAAGCTTCAGGTACAATGTATATGAGGGATTAACATTCTCTATCTAACTTGTTGATTGGTTATGTAAATGAAAATGCATCAGCATCTAACTAACTAACTGCACCGTCCATAATGCGATTGCCCTAAGCAGGTACAACATAAGTTGTTTTATCCTTGATTCCACAGCAATTTCCAGACCAGATTGTTGGATTTGTCCCACGGAAACACGTCTCAACACCAGGAGGAGTGTACAGTTACGGCAGCTTTGAACTGCAGGACCCAGAAACAGCTGGAGGTGACAAGTAAGCTTTTCTTTTGTTACAATTTTGTAAAGCTCCACGTAAAATGCATGTGATGTGAAAGGTGTTAAAAACTTTCATGTTGATCCACTCACTGCAGATACTCCATGGTGTTAATTGGTGCTGCCTTCTTCCACCGCCGCTACCTGCAGCTCTTCCAGGACCAGCCTCAGGCAGTGCACGCGCTGGTGGATGAAACGCAGAATTGTGACGACATTGCAATGAACTTTGCTGTAGCGCTGCACATGAGGAAACACTCAAAGTCTAGAGGCAGCATTAACAAACCCTCTGGGGTCTTTGTCAAACCTGTGGACCTCCGCAACCTGGAAAAGGATGCCAGCAGCGGGTACCAGGGTATGTGGCATCGTCCTGAACACCTTCTTCAAAGATCCTACTGTTTGAACAAGTTGACACAGATCTATGGCTTCATGCCACTGTGCTTCTCCAACCTGATGGTCTCCCAGTTTGGCTTCCCCAGCTATGCCAACCACAAGAGTAGAGGCTGAGGGACTGCCACATCGGTCCCTCAGCTTTATTAGATTGAAAGAAGACAGACTCAAGTAGCAGTGCGATAAGTCTGTGTTTGATTAACAGTCTGTCTTGGCTTGGGATTAGGTTGAGAACTTGATATTCTCATGTTCATGTGATCTGTGACTAGAAACCATCATTTACCTAATCAGCAGGACTATGATGATATTTCTTCCTCTGGACAGCAGCAATGATTGTTAAAGAACTTTCTACACATGGCCCAGTCGGATTAAACTTTCCTTCAGTGCGTTCTAACCTGAGTGGATTGAAGTGCAGCTATTTTATAGTCAGCAGGTGTCTGCTTTGATGATGTGCCTTGTTCGTAAAACATAATTTACAACACTGGTGTCATGTGTCATTCAAGTTTTCTTTTTCACTATTTGTAATTGTGTATGCGTTCCAGGTGAGCTTGTGTACAATCCCTATAAAATAAATGTTAAGATATCCGCATGCAGTAGTTTTTGGCCCCCCCAAAAAATCCCCACCTAAGTGTGTATCGGAGAATAAAATACAAGTAATGCAAGTATTATGTGCCTTTCAATGTAATCTATATGTACAGTACTATGCATGTGTGGACAATCATGATGGGTTTTTTTATGTGTGCACATTTTTCAGGTTTGTAGGACTGTCTCATGTGATTCAGTTAAATAAAGAACAAACACTTTTTCTCTGGACAAAAGTTGTGGATTAACTCATGATTATGATAATGAGAGGAACATCTTGAAGCAGGTGAACAGAGGTCAAGATCCTGAGATGTACTGAATGATCGAAGAATCAAGTCGGCAAATCCAGGAGTGGGTGGTGACCTTTTTCCACATCGTTTGTAAAGGTCTGCTTTAGCAAGCAAAATGAATGACATTTTGATGCATTTTCTTTCTGACATGAACAGCACAGAAGTAAGCATCACTTTAAGGTGAGTCTACTCTATTGACCAAGCTCCATCCTCTGCAATGTTTTTGGCACCTTTTTAAAAGAGTTCCCACTTGACTAAAATGACGAGGTAAAGTCTGTTTAAATGTGGACCGATTCCCTCTTTCATTAAATAAAAATATAACTTAACTCGTGATTGTTGAAAATCTAGTTTTAATAGCAACATACAAGACCAGCCCACAGGACTGTATTTTACATTGGATTCAGCAATGGATTTAATCATTGAATTGTATCAGCTGTTTCTGTCTAGGCTTATACAATTGCTTTCAATAATATGACCAGGAAGGCTGAAGGTTAAGCATATATGGATTATTAAGAGGTAGGAGAGAGGTGAAGTTAATTGCAGGGAAACAGATGCGATCAGTCTACACTGTAAACATCTCGATTGCAACACCAGGTGTGAGGTCTGACCTATTTTTCAAATTCCAGGTCTCTGCATACCAACAAATAAGCTTAAGCTCATTACAAACCTTGAATGAAAAACTATATTTATCACTAAACAATAACATCCCTCTTGGTGGATAAAAGTGTCTTTGCATATTCTGAGGTAACTCTGCGACCTCACTTCTTTCAAAAAGGTTCAGAGAGACCTTGCGTAGTCTCATCGTGGCCCAGGTCCACCACCCCCGGCCCCTGGAGAACGCATGTCGTGCCACAGCTTCACAAGAGGTTCCCTCCTCCTCCAAATCAGTTTGTGACCGTATGCCACATACCATCTGTAGGATGAGATATATGGAGACTATTAAAATGTAGTGACTGCAGGAAGGGATTCTGCCAAACCACGTATAAAGTCCAATAATATAAAAGATTTACACCACCATAAGCAGTATAAAGTTCAAACTACAATAACGATGTTTTTACAAAGTGTAAAAACATCACATAAAATGTTATAATCTGAGTAACTTAGCAACAATGTACTATTACGGTATATAGTTATTTTTACAGTAATTGTTTCATAATAGTGCCTTCAACAGCTGTTATCACGACTGAAATTCCAGACTTGGTTCATTTGATGACAACTGAACCGTTTTTCTGTACATTTGCTGATGAAGACAGGTAGATGTGTGAAAGAACCTGAAGAGGCTGGTAAGTGGACCTTGACTTAAAATTACTTGGTCAAACTACAAGAACACTCCAAGGTCCATTAAAAGCAGTGCTGGAGCTTTCGGTCGTATCACCTGGTCTTCTTCAGCATATGGAGTTTGCCCAAGTTGGAATTTTAAACCTTCAAATTTCAATTTCTTTCAAAGCAGTTAAAGCACATGATGAATATGGCCCTCACCTCATAACTCCACCTGCTGATGAAGATCATGTGATACGATTGAAAGCTCAAGAACACATACTAAATGGACCTTGTTCAAGAATTAACTCCTAACCCCAAACCTTTTCCCTCAACAGCATCTGATGTATTTAGAGTAACAAGACTTACAGACATTCTTCTTTAAAATAAATCACTTTCATATTATTGGCCACGGTCCATCAGTTATACATTATCTGAGTTTTTGAATCGTTGTTGTTTATGAGAGCCATAAAGAGGAACATAAGCCACTCACACTCCAAACAGGGCTCCGCCAAGGTGAGCTGCATGGTCAAACAGCCGCCATCCCAGTATAAGTCCTGCTGTATCTATGGCAACAAGCGCTTTCAGAGCCTTAAGACAGAACAATGACAGGAACCTTAAGTTACACACCAAGTCCTGCACTAAATCAAATACAACTATCTACCATGCATTCAGACATGCATACTTACACATTCACTCACACACACTGGACCTAGTCCGTTTTGTTCATGCACAGATTCACATCTCTTCCCTGCAGCGAAAACACAACATGGGAATGTAAACACCCTATTAAATGTATGAATTACAAAACTATTTACATTCACAATACACCGAGTAACCCAGAAACAACAATTTGTTAAACCATACATGGTGCCCACCCACCCAGGGCCGGGACTGCAAACACAAACAGACACACATGCATACTTTTTGTCACTTACATTTCCTGCTGTGAAAGTGACCATGGGGAGGAAGATTATGCCTAGTTTGGCCTCTGGCACCTTAGCACAGACTGCGGCCACTATTGCCATGATGGCACCCGACTATGTATCAAACAAAAGACAAGTCAAATGATTAGGATTTGTGTACTTCTTTTGTGTTACAATGTATGAAGAGTTTATCAAAAATCTTACCGCTCCTAATGATGGATGGAGATGTCCTGTAGCAGTTTTACACATGTAGCTTACCATAGTGGAAATCACACCTGGAAATACACATTATGATTAGGATAACAAGCTGTCTCTCCCCCACCACCCCAAAATAAAAATAAAATCTTAATTCATCCCCTTTTCAGTTTCATTTCCCCTCTTCTTCGTCATATTGCCCATATATTTTACCAGCTGGTTCCAACTACCACATTTATTAAACTCTAACTCTAATGAGTTAGAAATTCAGGAAGCCATTTTGCTAAATAATTGAAGATTAAGTTATTTGTAACGTGTGTTTAACCTTAAATAGATTATGTAAGAGATTAAAGGAGACAGATTTTATGCTGGATTTATATTCCTTATTCAACTCACCAGCAGACAGGTAGACGGCAAGAAACTGCTCTTTCCCTAAGAGAGTCACAATTCCTGAGGAGAATGTCCACAGGACATACATGTTGGCCACCATGTGGATAATGGAGTAGTGGCTGAAGGAGGACAGGACCATGGGAAGACACCGTGTTTCTGGTGGGACAGGGAAATATGTACAGAAACATTAAACATACTTGTATGGGAAATATTACCCCCCCCACCCCCCAAAAAAAGAAGGTATAACAGATATACTCACTGGAGGCTGGGTTGGACGTGAAGTACTTAATCATGCTTCTTTGCATTGAAGGGATCCGCCAGCAACACAGGACTACAGCATTTACTGCAATGATACCTGGAAAACAGTAATAAGGAAAGCTCCTGACTATGAAGAAATGTAGGCTCATATTGAAGAAATGCAGGGACAAAGTGAGTCTGTGTCTGCAAAATAAGTTACCGGTGACAGTTCTCTGTCCCTCTGTGAGGTTGCTCCAGAAGTCATCCACCATGGATACCAGAAGGATGAGCTGTCGCTGGAAGCCTGACAGCTGGTTCCACCAGTCATGCCAATATGCCATGTCCTGGGAGCCCTGGAAATATACGAAAGGTTCACTGTAAGCAGCCTATAAGTTACATTGGAGAGAGCGAGCCCTTTGTATCATTAAAAGCTCACCCGTGACCTTTTTTCTGACTCCTCTTTTGCAGTCTGAACTCTTGACTTCAGGGTCTCATACTGCAGAATGGCAGCCGCACCAAAGGAGCAGCCTGTAAACTGACATGGAGTCAGACAACAACCAGCGCAATTAAAATGCACCAAATCTCAGTACAGCATGCATCTATCTTCTCATTCTACAAGAAAAATGGGATGACCTACCCCTACTGTAAACATGAGTGGTTTGAAGAGCTTTGGCCTGGCTTTGAGAGAAAGTGGGGGACGTGGTGCGCCAGCCTCAGAGGGTGAAGGGTTTGTTTCTTGGGTGACATTTCCTTTCTTTGTATCTGGCCTTTTGGCTTCCCGACGGAAACCGCACCTCTGTTGGTTGCAGGGGTTCAGCCTGCCGAAAAGCGTGTCGACACAGGAGGAAATGATTAGACCCAATTTACAGATAGACAGCTTTGGTAAAAGAATGCCATGAACATCACCTGTATGATATAAGGCAAAGTAATGTCACAGCCCTGCAGTGAAAACTGTGAAGCATATTCTCTTTAAGTGATGATTTAACTATGTTATATAATGTTTAACTGTAGGGCTGCAACTAATGAATCCTTGTAAGCCCACAGTGACGTCTTCATGTTGCCACTGTTTTTTTGATTGACTTACGGTCTAAAACCTATAAGTATTTTGTTTATTATCACACAAGACAAGAAAAAAAGACGTTTAATCGGTAGGTCAGTTTTTAAAAGTAGTTGCTGAATAATTATTTGTAGATTGACTAATTGTTTAAACCATTGTTTCCATATGCATTGGTTACATTGTGGACTATATTATGGTTACTATGACCAACACCCTTTACCTGATAATTTAATTATCAAGCACCATAAAATGCTACAATAGGTGAAATGCAGACTCCAGACTTAACGTTATTGACTATAGATTTAAGGAGCTAAATAATATGCCGCTTGAACTGTAAAAGACAGATAACACGAACGGTGCTGGTACTGCACTTTTTATTTCTGTAAACAAACGAAACATACAGCTGTCTTCTGCCCAGTGGATCTCTTAACGATGACAGTTAGGTAACGTTAATGGCACAAGCGCGTCCTGTCAGTGCTGTTGTTTTGTTTAGACAGACCCCGCGACAGTAACAGCTTTATATTTGCTCACCTGGAGCTTCGTGAAGTAGTGCTGATTGTTCTGATGAACTGTGTTTCGGCCCATTTCATCACACATCCTCTCCACGCCATGTTTGTGATGACCTTTTGCCGGAAGCCCGTCCCACTGCCCTGACTGGAGCCAATGCTGCGTTCAAAGACTGAAAAAAGCTCCGACTGTTTTCAGTGCTCATTTTGTATAAACAAAGAGTAGCCTACTTTTTTGGAGATGTGGGGAGAGGCAATGGATTGTTTATATTAACTACAAATAAATAATTATTTTCTATATATTTAGTTATTTGCACTATTAGATGCCTTGCATTATTTGTAAAAGTATACACAGATTGCCTGTTTTCTGTTTACTGT